GAGTAGGCTCGGTCGGCCGAGACGATGGCTTGGCCTCCCAGCAGGCCGAGGCTGGGAGCCAGGGGGGCGTAGTCACTCCGTGCGCGCCTTTTTGGCGAGCAACGCCTCAAGGCGGGAGAACTGGTCGTCGAAGTGTTGGTGGATGTCAGTTTTGAAAGAATGGAAGTTCTGCTGCATGCTGTCCGATGAGCTTCGAACTTGTTGCTGCACGTCGGAGATGGCTTGCTGTTGCTGGACAACGATGCCCCGGAGTTGTTGCAGATCATCAGCTTGCTTGCGGCTGCTTTCACCGGCTTGCTGGAACCAGGATTCGAATTTGCGGCCTTGCTCCTGGAGCTCCCGAACGTTGACTGCAAGCTGGTTTGACTGAGTATCAGAGGAGCTGGCAAGCTCGGCTAGGACTGATTGGCGAACGTCAGTCCGTAGTTGTTCGCCAAGCTGGTCGAGCTTCTTGGCAGTGGCCGGGGCCGGTGTGGACGTGACAGGCATGTCGACATCAGAGCTGGAAGAGTTGTGCCAGCGGGCCCAAGGATCAGTGCCATTCTGCCACGGATCGGCTCTGCTTTTGGCGCTGGTCGTTGCAGTGGTGGTGGTAGTGGATGCAGCCCTGATGTGGCGGATAGTCTTGCCTGAGGCAGTGAAGCCTGAGGCTGGTGGTTCGCGCTGTCCGATATCACGCACCTTGGTGATGATGACTTCACCATGTGGCCCAGGCTGGATGGCTTTCTTTGGTGGTTCGGAAGCACCAACTTCCCAAGCTGCTCCTTCTGCGCTACCGCGCGATGCCTGCATGGGACGGGCAGCCCATTCCCATCCAGTGAGAAGTTGTTGCACTGCTGATCGCTGGATTCCATGGGGCAGAGGAAAGATGCGGTAGATGCAGGAGACTTTGATGTTGACAAAAGGCAGTCCCGGGCGAAGGAAGGAGTGAGCAGCTGCCTCGTTGGTGGCTTTGACACGAATGCCAAATTTGGTGTTGAGGCGTGTAAGGCTGACGGTGAAATCACAGGTTCGAGCTTTGTGGCGTGCCTCAGGGCCTGTGGCGGCTGGTAGCCACACAACGGAGAAGGTAGCGTCGACAGCCCGGCCATCTGTGGAGCGTGGGTCGAAGTAGATCCCATTGGAGCCAGAGGCGATGTGTAGGTGGCTGCCAGCGGAGAGCGGCACCCTCACCAGAACTTGGAAGACCGTGCTGTCGGCCGGGGTCACTTTCTGACCAGCTAGGCTAGAGTATCTCCAGGCCCAGGCATCAAGGATGACTGCTGAGACAGCTTCCTCAAGAGAAGGGTGGAACTTGCCGCATTTTTGCCCGCAAGCATCGTCTTGGCAAAGTTGCAGGCAGGTTGTGGCTCTGATGACGTTTCGCAAGGGAGCTTTGATGAAGTCAGGCCAGTCGTGGGGTAGCTCGTCCTTGAAGACGCTGATGCGAAAGATGCATAGGTCAGGCTCATCTTCAAGGGGTTGGTTGGCTGGCTGAATGCGCTTGACAGAAACATCGCCAAGTTGAATCAGAGTCCCCGTGAGCAAAACCGGCTCATCCGTGCCGGTGTACAGGGCAGGGAAGCGAACAGCCTCAGTAGTGAGCCCCGCAAGGTTGACAGGGAGCTCGGCAGTTGTGAGGAGCGCGAGGGCGTCGATTGAGATGGAAATTCCATCAGCCAGGAACCTATTGGCTTCAGTGGCCGGGACGATGGCAATGCCCCTGCGGTTGGCACCGACCTCCGAAGCTGGGATCTGTTGCAGGGGTTCGTCCTGGTCATCGACAAAAGTGCCGGTTGGGATGACAAGGTGCTCAGGGCTAATCTGAAGCTCCGATTGGTGTCGCGCTTTTTTGTCGGATTTGAGCTTTTTCTGCTTGGCGTTCGGGATGAAGGCGCCGTGTTCTCGTTGGGCCTGTGTGGCAATGTGGTTGTTGAGCTCATCGGTGGAAATCCATCTGAAGCGTGTGGCCGGTCGAGAGGCAGCGGCTTTCAGGGATTGCCAGGGGTTGCGGGATTCGAGTGCTTCTTGCACCGTAGTGGCGCTGAGTTTGGCGATGGCCTGGCTTGCCCGGTCTTGCACAGCCTCGGGGGGTACCCCCTTGGTGAGCAACAACTGTGTCAGGTCGTGGGTGATTTGCTCAGTTGGGAAGCCGCCTGCAAAAAGCTCATCAGGGTTATGGGTGGTGGTGCCGTAGGCAAGATGCCAATTGTAGATGCTCTCATGGGTGATGGTATCCCAGAGATCTGCTGCTATACCGAAATGGGCAAGAGCAATGGCACCGCAGGTCCCTGGGGCAGCCTGCTGAAAGTGGTTGCGGTGGACAACACCTTGGTGATTGCAGTGCATGAGGTGGCAAATCCGAGTGGCGAGGATGTCGGCAGCGTTGTGGTTGAGGTGTGGCAGGCCGTCCCAGCAAGTGATTTCAGCTGAGCCCTCCTCACCAAGCTGCAAGGTGAGCAGCGTCCAGTGTTGGTTGTGGGGAAAAACAGTGACAAGTCGGTGGTACTGCCGTAGGGACTTTCCGAGCGCACACACATGGTGTGGTGAAGGGTCGGGTCGTAGTAGATCTGCTGCAGCAACTGGGAGAATGATCCCCCAAGGCTCGGGATCGATGGAGGCCACAAACTTGAGGAGTTGGCCAATGTTGTGGATGACTGCTGTGTCGCTCCAGCAAATGGTGGCAGGAGTGCCGCAGGCTCGCAGATTGCCGCAGTGCAGGATGACTGCGTTGTTCCAGAGCCGCTCATCAAGTGTGAGGAAGGCTCCATTGTCCTGGTTGATGTAATCCCCGCTGAGGTGCTCTGGAAAGTAGCAGATGGCCTCTGCGAAGAGAAGACCTGAGCTGAGGTAGTAGGTTTCGCGGCCGGCCGCGTGCAGGAGCTGGACACTGATGGTCCCTGTGGGCGGATTGAGTGCTTGCTTCTTCTGGGAGCGATGGACTTGGTAGGTGTCGTGCGGTGTTGCGAGCAGTAGCTCATCCGGTGCTCGCTTGAGGCCTTTGTGTCCGATGTGGACCGTGGCTGCCCAGCCTTGCAGCTTGGTCTCGGCTTGCTGTAGTTGTCTGATGGTAGTAGGTTGGTTGAGGTTGATGTGGACATCTGGTTCGTTGTGCTGGCGAAGCCTGATGGTGCGTGGGCAGAAGTGGTGCCGAGTTGCAAAAATCAGATCCCGGTCGACAAGGAGCTTGGTCTGATACTCCTGGACAAAGTTGATTGGAGAGCGTGGGGCATGACCGGTGTGGAGTTCGGCGATCCAGTTGGTGATGTGTGAGAAGACCCACACTGCCTGCAAAGGCGCCGCAATTTGTCCGATAAGGACAAGAGCTCCTCTGGCCGGTGATGGGAGCGGAATCGAAGCTGGCCAAGTGTTGAGCAGGCCTGCTTCTTTGGGGTGTATGAACCTAGGTTGGCCCTGCAGCGTGGATGGGACTGAAAATCCACGGAGTCCATGCTGCACGAGTCGATGCTCCGACAGTGGATGCTTGCGGCATCCGCAAGGGCAGGCTCTTAAGGCAGAGCCCCAGGAGTGCAGTGCAGTAGGAGCAGGAGCTCGTAGGTCGAGTCCACGATTGTCCGTGCCATAGATGGGGTCCTGGTACTTTGTGCACTCATTGGAGTCCCACAGCAGGTTTTCTTCTTCAGTTGTTGGCCAGGCAGGCCACTCCGGAATGACGTCATGGACCGTGCTGTAGCAGGTGGATTTTGGCCAGGCCGTCAATGCGAAAGTGGCAGCTTGATGGTGAGGTAAAAGAACACACCACCAACGCTTGCGTCTGCTGGCCCATTGGTCCTGTAGGTCCAGGATGGTGGTGTGCATGCGCCAACCCCTGCTGCGAGCATAAGCCTGTATAAGGTTGAGCGCCTCCGGGTAGTTGATGATGTTGGCAACGCACTCAAGGATGATGATGCCAGCACTTTGCATCAGCCATCCACATCGTAGTATAGCATGCAGGGTTTTGCCGCGCAGATCGGCAAGGCCTAAGCCATCTCCTTGGCAAGAGTATGGCTGGCACGGAAAGCCTGCCGCTAAGAGACAGGGTGTCCCTCCAGCGCAGCTGTGGAGCTTGTGAACCATGCTGGGATTGGCGACATCGCCGAGCACGACATTGCTGTGTCCCTGTAGCCGGAGTGCATCAACTGCAAGCTGTGAGTGGTCAAGGTGTGCAAGTGGGCGCATGCCGGCGTGCTGCGCTCCCAAAGACAGGCCTCCAATTCCGGCGCAGGCTTCCTTGAAGCACAAGAAGGCCTCCCGGGTGTGCGTGGGGCAAACAACCACGTTGTCATAGCTGTTCACCTGCAGGAGTGGCTGCGAAGAGGCCGCGAAGGAGACCTTCGCATCGTAGATCGCAACCAGCTGATCTGCCTTGCAAGGCAGGTTGAGGAGGAAGTCCTGCTGCGGCGACACCCCCATGAGCAGAGCTCTGCCATGCTCATCGCACCCAAGAGAGACCTTGGCCACGATGCTGACGATGGCGCCTTCCTGCTGGTCGGCCAGAAGCAAATCCATGGCAGGTGTCCCGAGGCTCTGCTGTCAGACCGGTCTCACCGTCTGAGAGGTGCTCGGGCCGAGACTAACCCTTAAAGTATAAACACGATTTGCGTGTTCGTTTTTTTGGGGCGGGGGGTTCCCTCTATTTTGCGGGCTCAAAGGAGGGCCCGTTCAAACCAAAGAAGAAAAATAGAGGGCTCCGGTCTTTTCACTGATTGCAGGGAATTGCTATACAACGTTTCATGTAATAGTCCTGCTGGGGTACATGAGTGGCACTCAGATTCCATGATCATAGACGAGCAACGGATCACGACACACCGCCTTATATATATATATATATATATGTATATATACATATATATATATATTGTATGTCCACTGGAATCTTGTGGGCTTTCTCACCAACGCCAATGAATACCACCACCATTCCCAAGGAAATATTCTTTGAAAGGGGACCTGTGCACAAAGCCAAAAACAATGCATGCCCTTGTCGCCCTCCATTGCCAATGGCTTGGCGGAGGGAACCTGAGGTCTACGTTCGAGGACGGGGAATTTGCCCACATCCTGGAGCGCTTTGAGGGGACTCTCGCCGCACAAAGGCCAAGCTGAAACACGGGGACTGCGCAAAGTGACGGCTGAACCAGAAGGTTTCTCAGGGCTCCTTAAAAGATACATTTTTCCCATTTGAAACATGGCTTTTTCCACCCAAAGAAAGGGAAACCACCACTTACAAAGCAATGTTCAGGTGTATAATGTAAGAATCCCTGTTTCTGCCCGAGAATAAAGCATTTCAAGCGGCTCCGGAAAACAGCTGGGACGGGATGATGTTCAAAGATGGGGGTAGATGGAATACATCCTTGTTGTATCATGCGACTCCTTCCTTCCATTGTCACTTTCCTTGGGCACCAATAAAGATACATAGGAATAAATCGAAACTGGTTGGACCGCAGCTTGCTTGTTCTTAGGGGATATGAGAATGAACCTCCCAACCATTCCCTACAATGAGCTCACGAATGGTTGGTAAAGGGTCATTCCCAAACTTCCTACTATTTAAGATATAAGAAGCCAACTGCAAACAAGTCTCCAGAACACCCTTGCTTTTGGTGAGAAATAATGTTGGTCCAATTGTCTGTAGAAGTTCCCTTGTGAGTCATTATTTGGCCAATTGTTTGTAGAAATCCCCTTTTAGCTTTCTTCCATGATGTCAAAACCACGCCACGCGGCTTCCTCAGGACTTCCTCCCAGCTGCTGACCCCCGCAGAGTGGCAGGCGTTAGAGCCGCCCAATGGTCTCAGCGCAGCTCGCCACCAATTTGAGCGATGCATTTGGACGGGGAACGACCTGAAAAGTGATCGGTGGGCATGAATCCCCAAATCCCCACCGAATTTCGATGTCCACCAAAGAGTCCCTTATCAAAAAACAAACACATGGCCATATGAGATGTATACGATTTCAAGTGAACCAGGGCTTCTTACAAGATGGAGCTTGGCCATTTGAGCAAGAAGGCAGTTTCCAGATGTTTCCAGCAGAAAGGGAACCATCATTTTGGGGCCATTTTGGGGGTGTTTGCTTTTGCAATGTGAATCATGAAGCCTTCACCAATCTTCACCAAAAAGGAGGGCCATGGAAGTGTTCAGGTGGAGAATTTGAAAAGACGCTGGTTCCCAGCCATATAGCGGTGGGTCAAAAATCCAAAGACGGGAAAATCGAGTGGGGTGGGTGGCTTCCATGATAGGCCAATGTTGATTCCAGTGTTCGAGTAGTTTTTCCCTAGATGACATAAGCCCAATGGATGCAACTTTGGTGTAATTTGCCCTTGGTAAGACGAGGTCTGAAGGGTGCCCCGTGTCAGTTTATATTCTATGCAACAGGCTAAGACTGGCGAGACCTACGCAGTTGGCAAAGCAGAGTTCTAACTAAGAACGGAAAATGAGACACTAAGAGCAACTTCCTCTTCAAGTGTCCCCAGAGGTGGGCCCAACTTCCTTCTCTTGAAATTGGGGATGCATGTAGCCTTGTAAGGGGTATTCAAGGGGTACAAAGGATGTGATACTCGGAGTACTCAACGTGATCCCGCAGGTCTTTGCAGTGGACGTGAACGGGCACTTTGTGACGGCAGTCGCGGCTTGGGTGGTGGACGGCGACGGGGAGGAAGCCAAGGCTGTGATCCAGGCGGGGGGATTTGGGCCTTGCTGAGCGCCTAGCACAAGCACGTTCCTCGTTCCGTCAAGGCCAAGCAATTCTGCTTGTAATCGTACACCCTAGGGTTCAACCCCCATTAAAAGAAAGATTGACCCAATTTGGATGATGACAATCCTTAGGTCAACAATAGTGGTTATGTGAGGCCCCATTGTTTTAATGGTGGTTTGAATCCCAGGGATACATGGTAGGACTCAGTCAATTTTGCACGAAAAGCGGGAGAATTAGCGGAACGGGCTGACATGACTCCTCAGTACTCCTCAGCAGTCAGCAGAAAATGCCCTGACTTGCATCCTGCTGCAAGTTTTGCCCAAAGAGCTCGGTGGTGTTTCATGTTAGTAGTAGTAGTAGTAGTAGTAGTAGTAGTAGTAGTAGTAGTAATAATAGTAGTAGTAGTAGTAGTAGTAGTAGTAGTAGTAGTAGTAGTAGTAGTAGTAGTATGTTATAGGTAACTGGACAAATCAATCAGAACCTCCATTGTGTGTAAAATAAGTGTTTTTTTTCGGAATAGTTGTTTTTTCACTTCTGCGAGCGCTTTTCAACACTGCGCGCGCTTTTTGGCAATCATGGAATCTTGGACACTTCTACAAATTCTGCACTCATGAGAGTTTCGCGAAAAGGTGGATTTTTGCAAGTCAAAAAGCGGTTTTTCCTGCCTTTGAATACTCTGATCGCTCCAGGAAAACTATGGAAGGAAGCAAGGCTCCCAAAAAGCACTTTTGACTCGAAACGGCGGAATTGAAATGAAACGACGGACATTTGTGCTTTTTCTGCAAACCAGACATTTTACACATTGGCCGTTCTAGGTATGAGGTCACCCGGCTGGAAAACGAGTTCAATGATGATGAAGCTCCCGTATTACTTGCTTTTGGTTTGCGAATTTGCCCAGGTAGGCTTGCCAGCTTGACCCAAGCAAGTGCATATTTTTCGGTTTCGGGTTGGATATCGGCAGGTCTTCAACACCACGGATTCCAGCTACCTGAGTTGGCCGATGCTCTCCAACCTGCACGGCTTCGTGTTCCGATCCGCGGCTGGAGGATGAAAAAGTCGTTCATGGAAAGGCTTGAAGGGAATTGGCGCTTTTGGGTTTCGAAGCTTGGTACCAGCGGTTTGAGGCAATGGAAGTATGAAGAGGACAAGGAGCCTTTAAGATGCTAGTCTTCCGAAGCCCTTCTGTCCAGTGAATGGAAAGAGCGTCATTATGCCGATGTCTCATAAAGGGGGAACATTTGCCACGATCATTTGTGCCACCTCTCTTCCTTTCCAATCCGCACGCAGACAGCCAGGTCTTCAGCAAAGGCGATCGCCATGTGAGCCAGTCTGCTCAGGGGAGCTCAGGCTAATGGCTTGTCGCAGGTGGCTTGTATCAGTTTGACCTCACAACCTCTTCCCAGCGGTTCTGGGAGAATTTCTTCATGAGCCAATGTGGGGTAGGATTCCCCTGACTTCTCATCCGTTTTGTTGTCTTGTGTCGGAGCATGTAGCATGGAGTGGATCTCCGCAGACCAGGACTGCAGCGCAATCATGCGACACCCTCCCCACGGTTTGCTCCCAGTTCCAAAGCCCCAAGTGAGTGTGCGTGGTACAATTCTTTTACCTTGGCTTACAGCGAAACTGACAGGAAATACCAGCAAATGTTGCGTTCCCCTATTTTCACAACCAAAGTGCTGTCAACACATACGCACATAAAGCAGCCTCCTGGGGGTTGCCGCCGGGCTGCGAAAACGAAACCTCGAGGTTCAAAATCTTCGTGCTGCACAGTACCATCCCCATGGATGAGCAGGAGCAGGAGGGAGCTTTCTGGCCGTGGGGGGAGGGTGGGGAGACCCCAGCAACTGGCAGCGAGGAGTACCCAAAAGTCACTTGCAGATTTGCTTCGCTTCTCTGCGAATTGCCAAGCTACAGCTTCAGAAGCACAGCTAAGCTTCGCCGGCCTGAATTTGGGGCCCAGCTACTAGCCCCATTCCTGCAACAGGCAGGGAGTATGTTCCGAAAGCAAGTCCTTCGCCAGGCCTTCAAACCGCCCTCCGAGAACGTGCCTTCCTCAGCATTTGAGGCATTTGGCTTGAGGGTACCTCGTTTTAGGTTTTCAAGCTGACCAGCCATGTGTTGCTTCTTCCGACCGCAACGAACACGGGCTGTACGTGTTTGCAATGTGCCAAGATTTGTGTGGTTGGAGAAGATTAGGACACCTTGCATTTTTCGTGCTTGCCTTTCGCTCGTGATGGTTGGTTCGTGATGCTTGGTTCACTTGAAAGCACCTGTGCCCTTAGGAAAGCGTTTCGGGAAGCCAAAGTTGAACCCGTCCACGCCCGTTTCCGAGCCGATTTGAGGTGTGCCACGTCTTCCTGGCCTCCACCATCGCAGAGTCCTCCGTGACACTGCCAAAGGCCAGGGGAGCGAAAGGACCGGCCGCATTCCTCGAGCTGACGAAATCCGGCGAAGGTTACGTGGAAATGGATCCCTTCAGAAGGGTCCCCCAGATGGTGCCCTTTCACCGTTCCTTTTTTGCTTGGGAGGGTTCCCCTGCTAAAATGGACGGACTACAGAAAAAATATGGGGACCCTTATTCTAGCCTCTCTACTGGAGGACCTTGCGGAGGTAAAACGTGACGAAGGTTACTTGCAGATCCCTGACTCGCTTGGCCACCGCTTGCGGGCGTTGTCTTTGATGGCTGGTGTTTTCCCACAGTGGGCTACCCTGCGGATGGTGATTGGTAGGGGATGCCTTGCTGCAGGTTTTGGAATGCTTGTAAAATTGTAAAACAGATGAAGAGATTCCTGGGTGTTACCCAAACTTTCCTGATGGAAGCCAACAGGGGTGATGTGTGTGTGTGTATGTTTTGTCAGTTTGTCCAGGCCCTCTATTTCTTGAACCCGGTTGTGGACTGGATTGCCTAGCCTTTTTGGACCAGGCCAAGACCAAAACGAACCACAGAGGGACACGCAGGCTAGTTTGGCTGGAGAAGATCATTTTGGAAGTTTCTATACCTGGGCCTCATACTTGTTGGGAAGGGGCCATTTTAGTGGTAAGAATCAAGTTCTTGGCCAATCCACTCAGGAACTGAGGGATGATTATTGTTGGGACACGTTGGGACTAAGTGAGCGATCAAATGCATTCAGAAACTGAGAAGGGTTTGGGGGCGGCAGTTGAAGATTCGGCGATGTTCGCTAAGTGCTAGGGACTCTGTTTCCAGATTGCACCGTGCACAGGGTGTAGAGTAGAGGGTGGAGTTTCCTTTCTTGGAGCTTTCGGAGGTGGAAAGCATCTGAGATAGGATTGTCCAATCTAAAAGGTGGGTGTTCCTTTTACCGCAATTAATGTTGCCTTTAAATGGGAGAACTCCCGCAATCAAGGATTCCCATTTCGTCTCTCTTCAAATCAATCAAACATGAATCCTCCCGTTATGGTCGAATGCAGTCTAGGTCCCCCAGTAGTGCTCTTTTACCCCTTTTTTGGGGGAGGGTCCCCCTACTAAAACAGACTACAGAAAACGGTATACCCTTATTCTAACCTCTCTGAAGGACCTAAAAAATTGGGTCCCTCTTCAGGTGCGAGTGGTCATCGACACCTGCCTTCGGCGCCAGCTGTGCCCTGACAAGAGCCGCCACGGAGTGCATTGCCTGCTGACGCAGCGCTGGCCTAAGCCAACCGCCTACCAGTCCACCCAAAAACGCGTTCCGTTTCCGGGGCGCGAGGAGTCATTTGCCCGTGGAAAATGGGGTGTTTCCGAGAAACTGGGGAGTTTGCCCCCTCAAAAAAAAACGGTATAGTTCGCTCTTTTGTTTTGCGGAGGTTGTACGAAATGAAGCTCAAAGGGGACGAACATTTCATGATTGATCCAGCTCCGCACGGAGCCAGGCTTACTGCCACTGAATCTCCAGTGCCCCAAAAGGAGGTCCTTCTGCAACCACGATGCAATGCTGACAGGGGTATACTCATTGTTCTTGGCCTCAGGCCTTTTTGAGTTTCCATCATGCTCTCACTCGTCAGATGTGCTGCAGGTCCAAAGTTTAGCCAAGCAACATGAAGCGCAGCACTTGCGAACAGTTAAACATAATTATGTGCATTCTTAGGCCTACTTTGTTTTTGTAGTGAATGTCAGTTGTTCGGGTGTTTTCTCGAAAGTTTGATTGTTCTTTGCGAGTTCAGGGGTGCCTTTGTGGTTGAGGAATCTTCACGATCTAGGTTCTAATCTTTGAGGGCTGAGGCACTTTCTGGGTCCAGTGCGGAAAGAGGATGCAGTCAGGGCATGATGATCTTTGTGTTGGGCCATCCCCCGACTCATCCACCCGTTTTGGGACAGCACATTTGCATGCACTCGTGGTTTGGCTAAAATTCCATCATTCAGTGTTCGGCTCATCCAAGGTTGTCCGAGTTTTCTGAATCCGAGTTTTCATTCAGCAACATGCCGGAGTTCCGACGTCTGTGGTTTCCTAGTTGTGACAACATATTTGTTCACGGTTTGAAAAGGTAAAGCTCGGGTTCCGAGTCCTGCAAAGCTGCGGGTGCCAAGGTGGGTATCGCACGCTTCAGCCTCTCAGCGCTCTGGGCGAGCAGGCAAGAAGCCTCGGACCTTGGCCAACTATGTTCGCATGGGTAGTCGCATTGGGGCTCATCCTAGGAAGCAAGACCCACTGCTCATCCTGGCCAGATGCAAACAAACAAAAAGCCCTGTCTGTCAGGTCTTACTTTGATCTTTCGCCTTGTGGGCAACCGAACCCGCTGCAGGGCTCCCTCCAAGCGGCAAAAGCACCGGCCAGGCCGCGTCTTCCCGGGCGTTTCTATTCGATTAGTGCCCAGGCGAGTGGTTCGGAGCGTGAGTTTGGCCACGAAAGCCCCAAGCAGTGTTCAAACTTCCATACATGATGTGAGGAGTTTGTTAGTTCACAGGTCGGTGGGGGGTCAACATGATGCGCAGCTTGAGAAGTGCCAGCAAAACTGTAGTCAAAGCTTCCTCCGCGTCAGAGACTGCAAACAACAGCCGGATGGCGCGGTTTGCCTTCAGCGAAGTGTTTTCTCAAGGAGGTAAGCCAACTTGACCAGTTCGGCATGTTGCCTCTTGAATATTCGAGGCACTTCAGGTTGGTGCATAGTTAAGCATTGGCTTTTGTTTGAAGCTTGGCCCCCCCGGCTTGAAACGAGCGCGTGGCGTCTTGTGGCCAGGAGTTTTTACACGCAGCACATGACGCAGTACGACGCGCCGGAAATCGAGCAGGCTGGTTCCAGCGCATTTTTGGTCCTGCCGCTTGTCTCCTAAGATTTCTGCCCGAAGGCGTTCGGCGACGCCTTTTGTCCCTTTTTTGTTTGGCGGGGTTCCACTAATTCAACGTGGTCACCTGCAGAAAGGGTCCCGCTTTGTGAACAAGGGTCACCAGGCAACTGGGGGGAACAAAAACTGCCCTGTGCGAACTGCTTGCTTTCCCAGTGTCTTCAGTAGCACTTCAATCAATCAAGGTTCGGTCGATCGGATACACACCTCCAGACTTGGTTCGGCTAGCCAAATTGGGAAGTGATGGCATCAACACTCCATCATGAGAGTCAACAGCTCGCACTAATGCCGAAGGCTGGCATCGAAGAGATGTTGCTTGAGGTTTGTTGTGAGCGGGCACGAAAGGGGGGACTGGCAGTCCCGTTCCACATGATCATCTGGATCAGAAGGGGGTCACGTGCATGTTTGACATGTTTGGGGTGTGGCAGGAGGTTCGATTCACGCCCTGGGCTGAACTGTTTTCCCCCTGCCGTTACACATTGCACGGACGCATGCTTTGCTGTAACTTATTTCACGTTCCTGTTTCACAACGGTCGGGGGTGGGGGGATACGTAATTACGCAGAGGACTTGCTTAGAACAGACTGGTGAAAACGCAGCGTTCGTGTTCGCTTCTCAGGATTTTGACTGGTTGTTGCATCTCGCTATCGCGAGACGGATGCACAGCGGAAGTGGACACTGCTGGTGCCATTTCTGGTAGCTTGTTCATGTGGCCAACCTTCCAGGGAAGAATCTAGTGCCCCATCTGTTGCAAGCTCGAAAACTGCACAAACCAGCTGAAGCTGGTAGGAATCATTTTGTGATAGTGATGACAATGCTTTTGAAGTACAATGTGTTCTTTGATTCTGAGAAATGACATGCCAGATATGGTGAATGATTTTTAAAAGCTTGTTGCCCCCTTTGGCTGCCATAAACTGCCAAGGGTCCATTTCAACGGTTCACTCAATGTATGTTGATAACGCTAGTGATGAGTGGCACTAGTTGATAGAAATAATTGCTTTATTGCTTTCTCGTTTGCAGATAGCAACCTAGAAAGCGTGGCTTCCCTTTGAATTGCATACTAAAACCGTGGATGGACGAAATGCTGCACCACCTAAGAAACCTTGGAAGGATGATTTCCCCCGGAAATACCAGCAAACAATGGTTTCGCATGGTTTCAAAGTGGTGCAGGATTTCGTCCATCCACAGTACCACTCCCCAAAGCTGTACCCCACCCCAAAAAATCAATTCCCTATGTTTTGCTGGTGCCAGGCGCCGCTGGAAAAGCTCTACTTGAATGCTTGGCCCTTGGATGAGGGATCGCATCGATTCAAGCGGTGGATGTCCTTGATGGGGCAGCCACGAATTTTAGGCATGGCAGGTTGCGGGGAACATATCGCCCTGCGATTGAACCCCCACTAAAATCATGGTGGACCCAATCCACCAAACTTAGATGATGACGATCCTTGGGTAAACAATGGTGGTTATGCGAAGCTCCATTGCTTTAATGGCGGTTTGAATCGATGTGTGTATGTGGGGCTTCTGTGGCAGACTGGTGTCGGTTTTGTCGCCTACCAATGCTTACTTTTCCGGGGCCAGCGGTCAGCCAGATGTAGTTAACTGTGCTTGCAGCATTGGCTCCAGCCCAGGCATCGTGCAAAGCCACGACGCAAAGAGGCAATCAAGAGCCCAAGTGCAGCCAGCTCAAGCATGGGCATAGGCCAACGTCTTGCAGGGTATCATGGGCATCCATCTTAATGAGTCCCATTCAGAGGACGGGTCACAGATAGCTTTGATGCCTTACCTCCAAGCAGGCAATTTCACGGGCGTCCGGTGTGCCAAGCAAACTCGGGGAGTGTGGCAGCTGTGGACAATGAGCGCCATTTGCAGTGGCCTCTACACAGGTGCGCGGCTGCATGAATTGCGTCCTGTTGGAAATGGGCGTGGTACAGATTTTCAGGAGTATTTCTTGCTGAGAATGCGAGCGCTTGTCAACTCTGAGGGCGTCCGATTGTTATTTCTGTCACGCGTCATGGCGGGGGAGGTCCAGACAGCTGTGGGGAATTTCCATCTGGACTTGTCGTTGAAAAAATCCTTCTCTTACGACTAACTTACGACTATGGTGTCCAGTGCCCGGTGAGGACCCAATGCGACACTGTGCTTTTTTGCAAGTGGGTCGGAGTAAAACAAAGTGCATAAACTCGTTTGGCCCAGTCGGTTTTGCTGATCTGCGGGTTGGTCGTGGGGCACCGACAGGTTGGCCGATGGCTATGTCATGAGGCAATTGTGGACCTCTACACATGGCCGGCCTTGGCTTGAGGTTTTCTGCAACAGCAACATGCATGTGTCCAGAAGCGTTCAAAACCAAAGCAGCCCCCCCTCCACAAAAGGGCAATGCCTTTCAATGCTTCCCTTCTTGGCTTGCAAGGTCGGGAAACAAGCAGGATCTTTGGGTGGCGCGGTAAGGCATGGAGGAACTTGATTTCAGGCCCCACTGTTAAGCTCTCTAAACTGCAAAGATACCCAGGGCAGCTGAGGGTCCCCCCAGCTGCGCACCCAAAAAAGCTGGCAGGGCTGGCGCCCTGCGGCCTGCGCGCCCCTGGGGGGCTCGCGCCCAGCGTGCCATTGGGAAAGCCCAGCCTTCAGAGCGGCACTGGGCTGCGGATGAGGTCCGCCTACGGAGACCTCGTTTTCGCGCCGCGGCGGCGAAACCTGATGGTCGGTAGTCGCAACGAGCTCAACGTGGGGGTCGAACGAGGTCACTTTTTCTAGTTTGTGAATCATAGTGATGTTTGCCCGGGTTGTCCTGGTATGTTGTTGGTGCCCCTGAACATCGGTGTGCACCTTTTTCGTTGCCTTGCTGAGTCAAGAGCCTCTGGACGCAACGGCAGAGAGAGAGAGAGAGAGAATCATAGTGATTGGTCCAGTTTGTTGGTGGGCACAATTGTGGATATGAGACAGTTGTCCAAGCCCAAGCCAGCCTAGATGCATACCTGAATCTTACACAATTGTCAGTCCTTTTGTCGAAAATACGCTTTTTCACTGCAAACGTGTCGTTTCCAATTTGGCTGGAAGCATGGTCGGGAAGAAGTCGCCGTTTGGTCGGGTATTGTCGCCGTTTCACCTTAGATAAACAAAGTGAAAAGTGCCTGGGCCTGGAGACACAGAAAAGTGTTGCTGGACTGGAAAAGTTGTTCCACAAAAAGGCATGACCAAATCACACGCTGGGAGATCCAGGTATGGCACAGCTTGGTTCGGAAGACACTCTAATGCGAGAAACTGCGGAAGACCAAACTCGTCCGAGGAATTCCCGTAAAATGAGAATCGATCTCCGACTAAAACGGGAGCCACTGATTAGTATGCTCATCTATGCTCATTTGGATTACACCAAGCTTCACAGCAGTGAAATCATGTTATTGTTTTTCACATGGGTGCATTCAAGAGGACCTTTTTCAGACCATATCATCTTATAGGGCGGGTGGGGGTCGGGATGTCGGGACCAGTACCCTCACCCAGCGCCCACACAAATCCATCTAGATGGGAAGGAGATTTGGCACTAGGATCCCCGCCTGGCGAGTGCCTCCAATCAGAGCCCCCAAACCATGCTGTAGTTGCTTTAGGCGTGACCCTTTGACCTTTAACCTTTGAACCAGCTAGAAAACAACTAGTGTTTTTTCTGCTTTTTCTGCGTGCAAGGGCACTCCCCAATCCTTATGCGAGATGTAATGGTTTCCCTTGTTTGCAGTCGTGCCCCACTACAGGGTTACGCACTGCGAAACATCCCTCTCAGCAAGTCTTGCGAGGGGTCAACAGTCAACATACAAAATGTCAACATCCCGTCCAGATTTGGTCGCACAAAGAGGACTCGAGGAGGGCCAAAAGAGGACAGGATCAGGAGGCTGAGAAGCATGTAAGCATGTGTAAGGCCCGGGCTGTTGAAAGTCAATCCATCCATCATGCGAGATGTGGGTATGTGTCAAAATTAATCCACCAGGAGACGGCAGGTTTTAGTCTTCCATTTACCAGGTTTCCATTTTGGGGTTACCCTATTTTTGACCCACAGCCATGTGGCTCCTCGCTCAGGAGCGCGAATGCGCTGCAGGCGCGCCCTGCGTGGCGCTTCCAAGTGCGCAGCTGCACCGCAGCCTGCCGGAGCTGGAGGTGCCGCATGCGGATGGACAAACTCCACCAGTTGGAGCTGGGCTCCTTAAAAGATACATTAATCTCCTCCCCCAATTAATGAATGACCCCCATTAATAATACATGCAAATCCGGGGCCCGAGACCAGACTTCCACTCCGCACAATTGATTTTCCATTGCGCCAATACTAAACCAATACTAAAGTCTTGGAATCCTTATTAGGGGCAAGCTTCCAGCCCCACTTTTAAAAAGGTGGGTTCCTCAAAAGATGAATTCCTTAGAAGGTCAATCACAAGCTGGCTACCTGACCTGCCTGGCTGCGCCCTTTTTTTTTTAAAAAAATTGGGCCCTTTAGTTATTAGGGTGTCCCTCCAAAGAAAACATGTCCCCAAAAGCTGTCTAGCTGCGACTGTCTCTCTCCCGTACATGCTGGCTAATTAACCTGCCTGGCTGCAAACAAACAACCAGTAAACTGGTAAACAAATAGAATGATACATCAAATTTCCTTATTAAACCGCTTACTCGCGGACCTTACAATTCAATCCATTTCCTCCAAATCCTATGCGAACCCTCACATTGTTGGAAAAGCAAAAAAAACCAACCCCAAAAACCCCAATTAAAAAATATATATACATTTTTGTGTGGGTTTATTTATAATAAGGGGGGGGGGCGTATTTATTAATAGGGGGAAGAGATTATTGACTGCTATTGGGTTGGATCTTTAGACTTTAACTTTGTGGAAAATCAAGGCGTTTTCCACTAAACCCCAAAACAAGTTGATATTTTTAACTTTTTGCAGGGGAGTCAACAGCAACCAAGCATATTGCCAATGTGAAACATGTGGCTTTTTCAACACCAAAAAGAAGGGGAACCACCATTTACAAGGCAATGTTCAGGTGTAGAATGTAAGGATCCCTGTTGGAGCTGGGATAAAACCCGACTGGGATACACCACCAAGTGGTGCAGGATCTGGTCCACATGATTGGTGTCCATGAAACCTAAGGTGGATTTGCTGAGGGCAGAGCAACCCAGCGAAGTCCGAAAGAGTGTTTCCGGATAAATCTGGAGGATGCCAATAAGATATGGGCACCCTTGTAGTGGACATGAAATCATGTTGTGTCAGATTAGTATGGCCCTCCGAATCTAACATTGAAATGGGGTTGTTGGCGCTTTAGAACCCAGAACTCAGATACGTTTACCGGCGTGCACTACTGGTCACCATGCCGCCACTCACATGAATATGTCCCCTGCTGAATCTTGGGCGGAACTTGTCTAAAGAACCGGGCCCCGATTTCCTTGAGAGGGAAAGAAGGGGATGTTTAAACTTGTTCAAGCAAGGAGCTGACCCAACCCAGATTAACCCCCCCCGGCTATGCAGGAATCCTGCTCAATTAAAAGTGGGGCGTTGATGAATCAGGGGTCGACATCAGCATTAACCCGGGGATTTGCTGTATTCACAATTCTGAGAACAAATCAATCATGCTGCCAGATAAGTAGGCAGTGAGTCGGCGGCGTTCCGCCCTCAAAGGGATGGCTTCCAATTGAAATGTGCCGCCAGCTTGGTTTGAAAACAAAAACCCTAGCTTTAGTTTGGTTGTCAGGTATCAGTGACATGTTTATTCCCAAGGGACACCTGGCTGGATATCCAGGCGACCGTGCGCAGCACAAGCTCTTTAGGCGCAGAACTGGATGAGTCATGTTTCCCACTGTGTGTCACTCCCAAAGCCAGCAAGGAATCCATTCGAATAAGTTCAGCCTGTCACTCGGCTGGTACCGATGGTTGCTTCAGGTTCAACTGTGTGATGTTTCCCACTGTTTCAACCAGATGCCGCAAGATGCCCTCCAACAAAATAATGCAACACAAGAAGGCATCGCCCCTGGAGAGAACTGGGGACCGCCGGCCGCAGCGCCAGACGATGCCAGATGTCAAGCATCGCAACTGATCGCAGGCGATGAGCACGGCCAAGCTGAAAAACGTCGCCCGGGAGCTTCAGGACAAGGGAGGCGCGGAGTGGCCCCCTTTGTCCCAGCTTGCTCCTTCTTTTTTTTTCTCTGGCAGGGGCCTTAGGGTGCGGAGTTTTTTTTTTTTTGGGGGGGGGTGTCTCTCCACTTTGGCCCTCAACACATGGCTCAAGTTGCCCCGTTGCCACACATGGCCCAACCCGCGGCACTCTTTCCAGAGCCGCGCTTCTTAGTGAGCCGGGGGGGGAGCTTCATGAACCACCGGGATCCGACAAGTCTTAAGTGGAGATGATTAGAACTTGGAGCAGCAAGGGGGCAGGCATCAATTCGAGAAAAGATCTCAGATTTATGCTAGATGGAAATGGGTCCCTAATGTTGTTACCTCTCCTGCATCAGCGAGCTCCGCCCTCTCTTGTTGGGCTACTTTCCAAGGCGACGTTGGCCGTGGGCGGTAGGAAATGGTTTATGCTTCAATTCACTTCAATGTGAACTGTTCTGGTTGGGCCCCCTTGCCAAACCAAACTCGGAACCAGTGTGTGTGTGTGTGTGTTTCTGTTTGTGTGTGTGTCTGTGTGTTTGTGTGTCCGTGTGTTTGTGTCTGTGTGCGTGTGTGCGCTTGAATTTTTTTTGCGTGTGTTTGTTTGGTTGCTTGCTTGTTTGTTTGTTTCTTTGGTTTGGTTTGGTTTGGTTTGTGTTTGTTTTTGTGTCTGTCCGTGTGCGTGCGTGCGTGCTTGCTTGCTTGCTTGCTTGTTGGTTGCTTTCTTGTTGGTTGGTTTGTTCGTGGGTTTTGTTTGTTTGTTTGCTCCTTCGCTTCCTCAGATCTTTGCGTGGCACGCATTTTGGTGCCTCCACCACTTCGGCAAAACGGCCCTTTAGAGGAAACCACACAGTTTGTGCAACCGAGTTTTTTTGGGGACCTCACGCATGAAATGTGCGAAACCGCAAGATACCGGGCAAACAATTCATCCGCATTCAAGGTATTTCCCCGCAACAAGGGCATGCAAACGAGCGCAAACCTAAAACATGTACTTTGTAGCTGCCCGTGTTCATTCGAGAAACCGATATCTTTTGGGGTACGCAGCATGTGCTGGTCTCGCGAGCAAACGCATGTGTTCTTTTGAGCAGACACATGTATGCACTCGGAAGTGCCAGATTGTTGTTTCTTTGTTCGCTTGTTTTTGTTGCGTGTTTGTTTGTTCGTTCATGTGTTTGTTTGCTTGTTCATGTTTATTTTGCTTGTTTGTGTATTCGTGTGTCCTTCGGAGGCAACTGCCTCCCTATCGCGCCGGGCCACCGGGAGGGCCTCATTGCCTGGATTCTAAAGGCAGGGAAGTCCAGTGTGGGTGTTGCGTTTGGAGGTGCTTGGTTCACTTGAAATATGCGTTAAGGGTACCCGTGGGGTGAGTTGAAGGGAAAATAATTGTTGAGTTCCGCGCGCGCTGAACGTTCTGGGCCTGTAGAGGATTTTATCTAGGGGGCAAAATGGATCCAATCCCTCATGCGCTATTTCCCAAGCGCCTGAGATCGTACATGGTGCATGTCCCGGCCAGCCGTTTCAATGGCAACCAGCAGCCCCAAGGAGCTTGAAAGCCATGTAGCAGCAGATGGGGCGCTGTTCCGAAAGCTGGTGGCTGATGGATACGACCAGTGCGCGGATGCCTACCTCAGCCAGCATGCCGCGGACGACCCGGACGACATGCGGCTGGAAGCTTTCCGGCAGGTCCTGGCCGAACTGCGCCCTGGCGCCCGCGTCCTGGACGCGGGCTGCGGCGCCGGCGTGCCGATCGCCAAGGCTGTAGTGGAGGATCCCCGGGAGATGTCGGTGACAGGGGTGGACATCTCGCGCCGCCAGATTGAGCTGGCACAGAAGCTGGTGCCGTCGGACAGGGCGACTTTCCTTTGCAGCGACATGACCTCGATGGACTTTGAGGAGAAGAGCTTTGACGCGATCTGCGCGTTTTTCTCCGTCTTTCATCTGCCACGCCGCGACCACGCAGCCTTTTTCTCCCGTGTCGCATCCTGGCTTCGTCCCGGCGGCCGCTTTGTCTTCAACCTCGGCTCTGGCTTCGAGGACGGCGAAGGGGAGTGCGGCTTAGAGTCGGACTTCTTGGGAACCACCATGGTTTGGTCCTCATACCCACGAGATCAGACGCTCGCACTCTTGCAAGAGGCGGGCCTGTCGCTGGTGAAAGAGGAGCTCAGGACCGTCAAGACTGGCGATGAGGTTGACCGCGCAGGGCTGCAGTTCCGATTCTACCACTGCAGAAAGGGCGAAGACTCGGGGTGATCTCACACTTCTGCCTGCGTTGCTTTGCCTTCCGCGCTTGCGCTTGCGGTGCGCAAGACGCAAGCACTTGTACAGACAGAGTGCAGAGTGGAGCATGCACATGGAAGACAGCCGGCCTCTTGGCTTTCGGGCCTCCGCCCTAGGATCATGGAGTTGGGGGGTGGCGTGCCGGTACCCTCGTAGGTCCTGATGTCGCCTGATGTTATCCATCTCTGCCTCTGACAAATCTAGGAATGGCCCATGCCCTTGTCCCTTCCTTCTCGGGAAAAGCAAAGTATTGATTGCTCCCAGTGAGGGTTCCCCGTCGCGACGTCTAAAGCAACAAAAAGATGAATTCCATGGAGCCCTGGCGCTTGGCGCAAAGCCACTCAACATCAATTCGGACCCCCATCCTCCTAGTACAGAGCTCCTCGTTGCCTAGGACTCCTCCGTTTGTTTGGTGAGGAAAGTGCTTGTAAAAAATAAATTCGGGTGTCAAACATTTCAAGAGGTCAGGGAAAGTAAATTTCCTGTAGCCAAACCCTTTGATAGTAGCCGGGACTCCTGCGGTTTGCGCAGGCGCAAGACCTGGCGCCAAGCCCAGCCGGCGCAGCAGCAGGCATCAAGTCTGAGTTGGGGGAGCTGGCAGACCGAGGCGCGGAGAGGTTTGGCTCGAAGAAACTTTCTGCCTTACACTGGTGTGGTGGTAGGTTTGGTGGAATGACTTGAGTGGTTGCAGGTTAGTTGGCGGTTGTAGGTTCGTCGGGATGGTGAAGCTGACCATTTGGGCGCCATTTGTTTTGCAGATGGTTAATGGTTTACCTGTTCTCATGGGGTCTATGTTTCGCCAAGGGGTAAGCGAGCAGCCATCGTGTTAGCCAAGCCCGACCAGTGTGCAAGTCAGCAGGTCAGCAGGCGGGAATCTCCACCTTGAGTGTTCAAGGGGAAACCATGGTTGGTCATGGTGTGACCTTAGCCCCTTAGAGCTTTTGGCAACAAATGGCCTTTCCATTAAGCATACAAAAGGTTGAACCTTCTGAGCGGGGCAAGAGCAACTCAGAAGTCAGAGCTCGTCGTGACAAACAAAGATCTACACTTGTTAGGAAGTACTCAAATAGTGATTGAAGGCAACTCTCAAAGCGTTGAGGGAGCCAAGAAGAAACTCACAAATGGCAATGGTCTTCGATTGATCTCGGTTGTTGATGCTCCTGAATTAGTATCGGATTCATCAGCCACTCTTCATGGTTGAAATCTTGGGAATCGAACTCAAGGCACCATTTCTGGTTCCGTGTGCCGCAGGAGTTGCGCTGCAGCAACCTGCTCCGCTCTACGTGCGTGCAGGCGGCTCGCACGTTGCGCATTGGAGAACAGAAAGACTGGCGGGGCCTGGATTCCCTGGCAGACATTGTTTTGTTCAGCGGTAGAATGGCAGTTGAGCGGTCCCTCGTCAACACAGTCCTGCTTGACCCCGGGTGCAGCTCCATTCTACTGCATGCAGTGACTAATCAGCCATGCATTCTCTTGCGGCAGGCGCGTTAGCTCAGCATGGGATCAACCAAATTGGTGACGGCTGATGCTGACAAACACTGATGCAGCTCAACCCCAGTAGCACTTACAGGATCCACCGGTCATATCAAGGGTGCCGGCGCGACATGTTACACCGACCATAGTTGTGCCATGTTTTTCCGCCATGGTCCGTGACGCCAAGGGCGATGCCTTGAATGACGGGCAAGCCTCGGACTCCGGCACGGAGTCGCAGGGCGAGGAGTGCGAGGGCGCGGAGTCTGCCGAGGGCGCAGAGGGCGCAGAGAGAGGGAAGGCCAAGGCGGAATACCCTGGAGGTGCAGAGGAGTGGGATGAGATCCTGGTTTGCCCCCTCGAGATCCGCTTCACACAAGATAAGATCCATCCTTTCTTTTACCGGCGCGGGCCGATCGTGAACGTGGTCCCCAAGATCCGGGCGGTGCAGAGCTCTGAGGGCGATTTGGATCTGATTCCTCCCTTTGCTCCCATCCACTGCTTGCAGAAGGCTGGAGAGCTGTGGTCCATGGACAATCGCCGGCTTTATGCTTTGCAGCTCGCGGCTATGGAGCTCTGGCCAAAGCGCTGCCGGGTTCGGTGCTTGAGCCGGGAGCGGCTGCCAAGGCACAAGTTCAAGACGCAGTACCGCAAGTTCAACACCACCAGCGAGGGGCGGTCCATCGGTGTATGCACGAGGTATCAGCAATTCGACACCTGGAATTGGCATGAGCGAGCCGTGGAGGTTGAATGGTACTCCCTATCCAAGAGGCTTGGCGTGCTGCTCTCCATTTTTGAGGCCACCCCTGTGGTGGGGGCGCTGCTCTTCCGCACGGGCCTCACAGGTTTTGAGTCCCGGCAGCCGCTGATCTTGGCCTTCCTGCTGGCTTTCGCGCTGGATTTTGTCCGGCAGCAGGCCCCGGTCTTCGAACGGAAGCTGTGTGACATGCAGGTGAGGGCCATCATGGACGGGGAGACGCTGGTTCCCTGGGGCAGCGAGCAGGGCATGTGCATGGTGCAGCTGGCCGCCAGCATGGCCGTTGCATTGCTCCTGCTGCTGCCGTATCTCCTAGGCATCGGCTGGGATAAGCTGCGCTCCTCCCTCCTTTCCTGCTGGCTGGGCGTGGCCTTCATGCTGTGCGTGCAGCTGGCAACGGCCTTGAGATCTCGGGGCACTGAGCCGAAGCCCGGGTTGCCCCTTGGAAGCTCAGAGCACAACACCGATGTGGCCGAAGAAGAGGTTGCAGAGCTGCCTGAGAAATAGCCCAGCGAGGCGCTTTGGCGCTTTGGCGCCCAACAACGGCGCTCGAGGCGCTCCGTGTGTTGCAGAAAAAAAAGCACGTGTGCAGTGTTTGGCTTGAAACTCTGAATAGATATTCGATCTAGCCGACCGGCGTCGCGCATCAGGCAGCATCGGGCCATTTGTTGCCACGACCGAAACAACCTCTTGATTGTAACGAGCTTTGTTGGGGGGTAAAGGAGCCCACTCATAGTGCAGGTCACTGACTCAGAGGCCCTCAATTCAGAGCCAACATAATTAGTGCAGATGACCATCCTGACACTCACCGATCAATGAACAATCCCAAGGAGCGCTGGGGTCAACAGGCAAAACGGTGCTGCCCAAGCAGTTCACCTCGGAACTTGTTCAAAGACACAAATCAAAGACTGAGGAAGTGCATGGAAGGATTTGGAGGCGAAAGGTGAGTCCGCCATCACGGCTCCTACCCAGCCCCCGTCCCTTTGTTTTCCCACGATATTTGCTATGTTCCACTGGTAAGAACTGGCGCCACTCCTGTCGGCAGTGAGCTTTTGGCCTCCGAAGAAAATATAAGCCCTTCAGTAAAGCAAGGCCTGCTGATGACCCCCTTATCAATTTGAGCTAATTTGTGGAGCAACGACAAAGCTCAGCTTCCTGCTGGTTGCTGGGTTTAGGGAGTTGAGCCACTTCAAGAGCATCTTGGTGGACGATCGGACCTTCGAAAGCCGTCCAGCTGAAACGGCCAGTCCTACCGCAGCGTTTGGCCATTTTTTGGTTCGAGCATGGGGCGCTTCACCATGTAGCCGGCCATGTTTTGCTGTTGCTGTGCCCAGGACGAGGTGGCTTTTGCCGAGGTGCCTGTCACCAACGTGCTGGATGGGCACGTGGCCGTGTCTTGGCTGCGATTGGATCTGTCCACCGACTTTTGGGGAAGTTTAGGTATTCCCGCTAAGCCAAAAAGTCGGTGGGGGGCAATAGGCAGCCACGACAGCAAACTAACCTTAAGCAACAACAAGCAACAAGTGAGCAACAACCAGTTCACCTTATTGTAGGGGGCGATTTCGCCAAGGTGTCCGCACCAGAGAGCGGCTACTTCGCGGTACAGTTGAACCTCAACCAGCTGCAGCCACGACAGCTGGGCGTTGAGGTGGATAACACGGATGGCCGTGGGTCCATGATTGTAGGCGAGCTGGCTGGTTACTTGGGGCTTGGTACTGTGGATGGACAAAATCCATTTTCGCACCACGAAATGAAACCGTGGCTGAAACCATGGTTTGTGGGTATTTACACAGGGCTCCTCAAAGATACATGTTGCCCATTTGCAACATGGCTTGTTCCACCAAAATCAAGGGAAACCGCCATTTACAAGGCAATGTTCAGGTGTATAATGTAAGGATCCCTGGCCCTGTTACAGGTGAATCATCATTCCAGGGGTTCTTAGGTGGTGCAGGATTTCGTCCATCCACAGTAGGAGGGTCAGGCAGGGCTAGATTGCGTTGGTAGGGAGAATTTAGGCAACCCACGCAGAAGGTTCTTATGCATGGAGCCATGTCCATAGGGAGTTGCGACCATACCATGGCACCTATAAGGGCAACGGGTAGTATTAGTCCAGTTTCGGGTAGACCCCTACCGGTTTTGTAGGGTGATAGGTGCGGTTTTCGTCCAGGCCATGGTAAAGCCCGTTATTTTCTGGTGGTAACATATTCGCACACGTGCATACCCCGCCGTTGCCGCCTTTTCCTCGAAAAATCAAGTAAGGCAAGCCAGGGAAGTTATTTGAACAGGTGGATGGCCTTTCCGTTTGTCCAGTCCAGGCATTTCGGAGGGCGTGGTTCAAAGCTTCAACGAGCGCTACCCGGACCGGGCCCTGCAGATTCATGATCGGATTGTGTCAGTGAACGGCGAGCCCACCGCCATAACGGAGATCCACAGGTCGCTTCGGTGCGAATTTGCCGTGTGTTTTCCTTTGGTTTTCCTTAAAGATGGCGCGGCCAACCCCTGCTAACCATATCCTTTTCCGTCGGTTTCCCCTAAAGATACAGTAGCGCCAAACAGTGCGTTTTCGTTGGGCTTTGCAAACGCGCGTCCAAACAAATCAACATAATATCAACTCCACCCGTACACTCATTCAGACCCAGAGCAAAGGGGAGCCATTGAGCGTCGTAGTGACTAATGGTGCCCAGTAGGGGCTCTCTGAACCAGCATCGGGTCCAAACAAGACTGCATTGGGACCTGGGTGTGTTTTTGTGCTTGCTTGTCAAGCTTGCTTTGGGGGATGTCAAAGGGAAAGCCACCATTTAGCTTTTTAACATTGGGTTACCCTGAAATACCCCGGCTACAAGCGACAAACCGGTGGTGTGTCAAAACTGAAGGGGGGGGGACCGTAGGATCCCTGCTAACAGTGAACAACTTTTAGTGGGTGAATGTGAGTGAAACGGAAACTACCACTACACTTCCATTTGCTTAAGAATATGTTTTTTCCCCTCCTGGATCGTTTTTTTTTTTTTTTTTCTGCCGGGGACGATCACGCAAATGGAAGTTGATCGACGCTCGAGGTTGAAGATTTCCTCCATCAGCGCGGGGCCCCACAGCTTGGCCTTGACCATCCTTCGGCCACGCCAAGTCACCGTAGAGCTGAAGCGCCCAGGGGCGCTCGGGGTTCAGATGAAGTATGCGGCTTGGTTGCTGGGTCCCCTTAAAGAATTTCCGGGGTCCCCTTAAAGAATTTCCGGGGTCCCCTTAAAGAATTTCCGGGGTCCCCTTAAAGAATTTCCGGGGTCCCCTTGAAGAATTTCCGGGGGGCCCTTTAAAGAATTTCCGGGGTCCCCTTAAAGAATTTCCGGGGTCCCCTTTAAAGAATTTCCTGGGTCTCCTTAAAGAATCCGGGGTCCCCTTTAAAGAATTTCCTGGGTGTCCTTAAACAATTTCCGGGGTCCCCTTTAAGAATTTCCGGGGTCCCCTTAAAGAATTTCCGGGGTCCCCTTTAAAGAATTTCCGGGGTCCCCCTTAAAGAATTTCCGGGGTCCCCTTTAAAGAATTTCCGGGGTCCCCTTAAAGAATTTCCGGGGTCCCCTTAAAGAATTTCCGGGGTCCCCTTAAATAGTTTCCGGGGTCCCCTTTAAAGAATTTCCGGGGTCCCCTTAAAGAATTTCCGGGGTCCCCTTTAAAGAATTTCCTGGGTCTCCTTAAAGAATCCGGGGTCCCCCTTAAAGAATTTGCGGGGTCCCCTTTAAAGAATTTCCGGGTCCCCTTTAAAGAATTTCCTGGGTCTCCTTAAAGAATTTTCGGGGTCCCCTTAAAGAATTTCCGGGGTCCCCTTAAACAATTTCCGGGGTCCCCTTTAAAGAATTTCCGGGGTCCCCTTAAAGAATTTCCGGGGTCCCCCTTAAAGAATTTCCGGGGTCCCCTTTAAAGAATTTCCGGGGTCCCCTTAAAGAATTTCCGGGGTCCCCTGAAAGAATTTCCGGGGTCCCCTTAAAGAATTTCCGGGGTCCCCTTAAAGAATTTCCGGGGTCCCCTAAAATAATTTCCGGGGTCCCCTTAAAGAGTTTCCGGGGTCCCCTTAAAGAATTTCCGGGGTCCCCTTAAATAATTTCCGGGGTCCCCTTAAAGAATTTCCGGGGTCCCCTTAAAGAATTTCCGGGGTCCCCTTAAAGAATTTCCGGGGTCCCCTTAAAGAATTTCCGGGGTCCCCTTAAAGAGTTTCCGGGGTCCCCTTAAATAATTTGCGGGGTCCCTTAAAGAATTGGCTGGGGTCTTAAGAATTTGCGGGGTTCTCAAGAACTTTCTTTGGGGTGGTTTGCTTCAAGCCACCCTGGTTTCCCCACCCAACAGAACGGATCTCAGAACCCTTCTAGGAACCTCCCAGAAGGTTTTAAAAGCTTTCCTGTGGAGGGCCTTGTATTTTGTTTGTTTTCCTAGAGCGAATTGCACGCACCTATCCTCTTGAAGCCCCTAAACAACCACACATGCCTTCGTTCTGGATTCCCAGTATTGGGCTGGATTTGTTTTCATTCACTTGTTGGTTGTAATACATGTGAGCGTGTTTCCCCCGGATCGCAAGCGCCGAGGGGAGAGAGGGGGGAGGGGCGGTGGGAAGGGCCGCCGAGGCCGGCAACTCCTCGGGGCTTGTCATAGACAGCATCTCCGGGAAGGGCTTGCTGGCTCAATGGAACTTGGACCATCCATCAGCTGTGATCAATGCGGGGGATCGAATCATTGCAGTGAACGGCCAGTTTCTGAGGGGCAGGGACATGCTGGACAAGGTCAGGACAGAGGACTATTTGTGTTTGATCATCCTGCAGTACCCTTGTGATTCACGAACATACAGCTGAAGCGCTGTTTCACCCAGCTGCAGCGCAGCGCTAGGTGTCCCTTCTCCAGATGTCAAATGTTGTTTGATGGCAGCTCAGAATCAAATGACCCGGTTGCTGAGTGGATTACACCCCTTGACCCTTCTTGTTGGACTGGTGCCTCCTAAGCAGAACAATGATGAACTCCAAAGAGGGTTCAATCTTTACCCAGGGTCACAGGGCAGCTGGAGTCAAATCTGGAGAAGGGAACTGGTCGAACTCGCTGTCAGTGCTCCTCACGAGTGAGCAGCTGACCAGCTCATGTGTCAGGGCTCTCTCTATATTTCCCCGTTTAGGATGGTTTGAGCATCAGCCTTTCAGGCCAGACAAAGTGAGTTTCCTTTTTGGTGGGGTGATGTGTAAAAGAGAAATCTGGGGGGACCCTGTCTGTTCCCTGTCCCATTAAATGGGCGAAGGGACGCAGTGCATTGATCGGGGAAGAGGGCACGCTGCGCAGCCTGGCTTTGAAAGCAAACCCGGGGAACCCAGAGCAGTGAGTACAAACGCCAAAAAAAGGTGTCATAAGTGTCCTTTTTGGTTTACCTGGCGGTTTAATCATCTACCAGGGCCATCTATTTCCCCTAAAAGGACGCCTATGAAGTGTGTGTTTCGAATGGAGGTTCCTCCACACCTTATATTTATGGGTTCATAGTGTGATTCTGGGAGGCCGGGGGGTGATGTGGCCCTCCAAGTGCTGCAAAGGGGAAAGATCCGCCGAAACAACCTGAGCATGGAGACTCTTCAAATAAATAAATAGGGGTTTATTACTCCGGGGTCAACATTACTCTTACCCAACAAAAACCGTTCCAGCCACCCCGCTGTGGCCGTCAGGCAGCGTCCCTGCGGAGCGCGCGGACCGGCGCAGGCTGCGTGCAGAAGCGCGGCTGCGCGCTGAGGGCCAAAAGCCATGGGAAGGACGGGCGCCGAAGACGTGGCCATGGGTTGCATAACCTATGGCTCCATATGGCTGTCAAAACCAATGGTACCATTTTGAGGTGCACCACCCATTTTAGTCTATTTTAGTGGGGATTGGGATGTTCACTGGGGGGGTTTTGACCCATAGCCAGATTGGGGTGGAGGAACATCCAGAACATCATTAGGGGTACAGGGTTTTGACCCACAGCCACATGATATTTACATGTGCATGGGTATGGGTCAAAATGAAACCACCAGACCACAGGTTCTAGTCCTTGATTCCATTTACCCGGGCAACCCATTCGGGGTAGCATAGTTTTTTAACCCACCGCCATATGTTTTTTTCAGCTCCTTGGGCGAATTGAACGCAAGAACATGCGAGAAACTGCCACAGCCGAAGCAGATTCATCGATTTGCGTGGCATCTCGAAATTGGAATCTTTCGCGGGTATGTCTCAATGTGAGGATTGCAATGCCCAAAGCCGCAGCATAGCTGAGAGGCGAAATGCAACCCAAAAGTAAGGATCGAATTTCATAATGAACGATATTATAAACAGTATAACAAACACTAAATTGAAACAGTAGTCAGTTCAGTCCCATATACAAAATTCATTTTTCAAGCTGCAAACTCATGCTCTGAACTTCTCCACAAAGGAGCCGTGGAAACTTGAGGCTGACCACGTCAAGCCCTCGCCCGGCGCACTGTGGACCTCCCGCTCGAAGGAGACACATTCCACGCACGTCGTGACGTCAAGGAGTTGCAGGATGTGACGCGGGAATTTCTGGAGGCTGGGAAGGGGGCGAAGACCAAGATGCTTGCAGGGATGTCAACCAAGGCCACCATGAACGGTCATCAGAGCCAGCGGGGAATCTCACCTATGTTGGGATGAGTTGATGACGGCAGGAGGCTGTCCGGCCTCCTTAGATTTGCCATTTCGACGCTGCAGCTTCACAAGCCTTGGTGGTCCCCAGCCGTCCCCTTAGCCTTTTAGGCTTTCAGGGTTTAGTGGTAGTTTCCATTTAACCCACTGAAAGTTAAACTTTTAGCGGCAGCCCAGAAGCGTCGGCGGCGGGGGAGGGGGGAACTTACTAAGAGGGCTTGCTTGAAGCAGGCTGGCGAAAAGGCAGCGTTGGCACATTTGCCATGTGGTGCAGTCCTGTCTCAAGTCAATCATGCTTTTTGACAGGGCTTTGATGGAACCTGGGTATCCCATCAGGTGCATAGAAGAACCACACATGCAACAAAGCGATCCTGGATCCTGTTTGAATTCGTTTATGCCCAGCTATTCCGGTAGAAACGTGCAGTGCGCAGGGTAGTGGATCAGTAGTTCAACTCAGCACTGCGCATTGAAATGCCCCTGCCCTCAGGGGAGAATCTATCAAGCATCAAGGATAGTAAAGATGTGTTTGCCTTGTACTTTGACCTTCGAACGAAGCAGCCGACACATTTAAAGTATTGTTTGTGCCACTACTGGTTTCTTCCAAAGTGGCGCTTCGCATATGGTTCTGGCGGCCGTGTATAGTTGCATGTCCTCCTAAGGGACACGGAAGTTCCATTCACGGTCCGCCCGTTCTTGCATTTTTTGGCGGAGCACGGTCCTTTTTCACCTGCGTGCCATGACTCCAGTGAGGAGAACCCCGGACCCCCCCGAGCAAAGCGCAGGACAAGCCCCGCCTCCTTAGCGCCTTCTCGGCGCCCGTTCTAAATGTGGATTTGGACTGCACCTGGGCCACGCAACTCCTCCGAAAGCAGGTCTGAACCGTGATCCCAACTGCTCTTGGAATCGTGCCTAACCATTGCAAAAGCTGGGCTAAACGCAATCCACCACGCTGAACCTCGCACGCCCTCTAAATCCACTAGTTTGCAGCTCACTTCAACCGGCGCCAGGCTAGGCTTCATCGGCAGAAGGCCCTCCAGCAACAGCTGGCGGGCAGCAGCGTGGTACTGCCGAGCAAAAATCGTGCGAGCTGCCGCCACGGGGAGGGGGAGTTGAAGGATTTGAGACTCCCAGTCGATTCTTCCTCCCCCGTTCTCTCTTTATTGGAGGTTGGATTTCCCTAAAGTGGCGGCGTCTTGACTATACACGTATGTTTTGTTCTAGCATTGATACGTTGCACACAGAGTTGCCACTACAAAATGAAACACGTAGCATGACGGGCCAAACATGTTTAAATGCTCCGATATTGACAGCTTGATTCAGTGTTAAAGTTCCGCGCAACGCCAATGCTCAGGCACTTATGCCGCATTGAGCATTACCGCCACCACTATTCCTTATTCTCGCGCAACATTGTTCTGTAAGGACAACTTTTCGAGCGATGCCAACATTGCCCAAAGGGGTGATTTGTCAACATACATTGCAACTGCATCCCAGAACGCATGTTCGCCATGATTCTGATATATTCTAATATCCGCTCCAAGGAAGGGACGTTTTAAGGTGGATGTGTGGCCGTGTATTTTTCTTCTGGGGGTGATCTGAGCACTAGTTCGGAAAAATAGGGGCTGCCAGCGGCGGGTAGAGTTGTCCTAGGTTTGTTGAGCCAATCAAGGATGGCATTTCTTTGACATAGTTGCCAGAGGCACTATGTTGCAATGATTCCAGGTAGATGCCATGTTTGCAGGAGATTCTTTGCGGACCTTCCTCTTGAACGCCCATGTTTTCGGGTTTCCATGTTCAGTTGCCGCTGGGAGGGTCAAGCAGCTTTTCGCCCAGGTCAAGCAGCTCTCGCAGCGCCTCCGGGAACGCTTGCCCCGCATCGGCTCCCTGCCACCGTGCGGGGCCCCGGAACCCCAGGCGCACAGATGGGCTTTGGCGACTCGGCGCCGGCCGCGGTCCTTAGACCTCCGGTGATCTTTGCGTCGTTTTGGAAGTCCCCGAAACACGCCAACTACCCAGATACATGCTAATTAGTTCATTTGTTCCCCATGGCCACCGGGGGACTGGGCCTTGGTAAGAGTTGATCAACTCTCGATTGAGACTTGAGGGGAGTTAGAGATCATTTCATGTGACTAATTGACAGGTGACGAAATGTGGGCCAAAGACTGGAACACTCGTTTGCACGCATATAGAGGCACAGGTGTTCTTGTTTACATGAACTGATTCGAACCACACAGCCAGCTCAGCCTTTGATGGATTGTCAGTCCTTTGTGGCACAAAGCTGAACCCTTGCAGTGCGGCCAGGCCTTGGGCAAAATGGACTCCTCGGTTGGGCCTGCTCTGCAAGGGGACCAAATTAATGAAAAAATAAAATAAAACGTCGTGGCCAAGAATTAGACCCCTTGTGGTTCAGAGGAAGCCGCCAGGAAATCGACTGATTTCACGGGATCGTCTCAAATGTGTACCCTTTGTCGCGGGGATGGAGTTCTGTTTGGGGTCCTTTCCTGATTCCAAACAGAGGTGCCACGCCGGAACCTCAAGACTCAAGACTTGGTGGCTCCCAGCCATCCGGTTCCTTTGAGCCTTTTAGTGTTTAGTGGTGGTTTCCATTTAACCCACTAAAAGTTGAACTTTTAGCGGGGGATCTGAGGGCAGCTGGCAATCCTGTGCCCGTGAACATCCAGCCACCGCCCAGTTTCTGGTTGAAGTGCTATGCCCGGAGCTGCAAGTCCAAACGTGGGTTTGCATCAAACTGGTGGAGCCCAAAAGGCTTCCTTGCTGAGCGTGCCCTCTAGAAAAAAAAGGCATGCTCATACGGAGAACCTTTGCACAGGACCGTCCTGCACAGATCTGGGTTGCCAATGACACGTGGAAATCAGCAGCTTTTCTGCTCGCCGCCCTCCGGGCAAAAAAGCTCCCTTTTGGCTGAGAAAGGAATGCACGGAATGGACATTGCCGACAGTAAGAAGTGTACACTTGATTTCCTAGTCCGTTGTGGTTTGGGGGCTCGAAGTGGGGTTGGCCCAAGACACCGCCCCCAAATCCAGATCTCTCCAGGAACCATGTTTACTTCCCTTGTTTCTGGACGTTGGGAAGACCATGTCAGTAGCATTACAGCCAGCAAAAGGTTTGTTTTAATATTTTTCCCCCTGTTGGTGTTAAAGGGAATCTATCACTACTGGATTTGTTTTTTTACTTTTTCCGGGGGACTTAAGCAAATGGAGGTCATGTTTGGGCTCCATGCCTTCAAGGGCAGCCAGCTCAGAAAGTTGGCATGAGATTTAACTCAGTGGGCTTGCTGAAAGGCTGGACCCTCAAACTAGCCATGAAAAAGAGGGGAATTCGCAAACTATAGCCGGACTTGCTGTGGTCTCCACGGCACTGCGTGAGCAGTCCCGGTGGTACTTGAAAGATTCCAGGCGTCGGCTGCTGCAGCTTACGGCGGGGGAGCTCATGTGCTGGGGGGTGCAGTGGTGTCTAGGGTGCTGAATGACCCCAGCCTGTTTTTTTGCTTTCCTTTTTTTCTCGCAAAGGGGACCCAAATGAAGATGGGTAATGTTTAAGGTTTTCCAGACCCTATGTCATACCCTGGTGTGTGCCGCTTGGCTGCCGCACCTCCTCTTGCAGTGCCAATCGCTTTTCCAGGATATGAAACAGGTTTGCTGTCTATCTCCGGTTTGTTGGAGAAGTGAGGTCGAGCCTGAAACCGGAAGCCTCAAATTGCTTTCAATCCATCGTCCCTGCAGGAAACGCCTCTTTGGAGTTTCTCTCTCCTGTGGCAGCAATTGCAAGAAGCATGGTGTTCCAGGTGGTGAAATCGAAACCTCTTAAGTTCTATGTTGGCAAGTGGGTGTCCCTTTGTTTTAAAATATGTACCGTAGTGTACCCCGCTACAACGAGATCCACGGATTCCCCTCCCCCCCCACGTATAGAAGGGGGAATTATGCATTCAAGGTTGAAGGTTGGCCTGTGTGAACCCCGGCTGCTTCCCAATCTTGTCGTGGATGTTCTCTTATCCGGTGTTTCGGAAACCCCGCGAAGAGTTGGGAGCTCGCTGGAAAGGCTGCTGTAGGGCCAAAACATGCCAAAACCGTTGAATCGGGCATCGCTATGCGTAATGTGGTTAGCCCCGGAGAGTGCCGCAGATAAACCCCATCTCAGATGGAAGGGTTTGTCCCCTTTGCTTGGTCAAGATTGGTCCGAGCCGTTCGAGAACAAACTAAAACCAGGGGGGAGAAAGTATAGATTTAGTTTCCTTGGGTTCCCTTGACCAGGGACCAAGTTTCTACCCTTTTCGCCGGGTCTTTGGATCAACCTCGTGCCTTTGGCAGGTGCAGCCCCCACCGATGGATCGCCTTGAAGAGGCGGCCGGGCTGCCCAGTCTCGCGTGCCACCCCTTTGCTGGGGGCACCATCGAGTTCGGGTGGACGAAGGTTAGTACCTAGAGTCTCCATGACTCTAAAAAATGGGGTCATTGACCTCGTTATAAGTCTCCATGACCCTTACAAAATGGGGGCATTGCCCTAAATAGTGGGGACTACAAATAGATGTGGCCGTTCCCCTGATTTCCTTACACGTCTCGGGTAGTCCATTTTAATGTCAGTGTGTTTTCAGTACGACTCACTTGGGGTTCTCAAGGATGGTCATCAACTTCCCAATGTAAGCCTTGTTGTACAGGGGCCTTGCCCCTGACCTAATGTCCACCTGGGATTAGTAAACGGGGGTTCCCCCCCCCCCCTCAACGATGGGGGCACCTGGAATAGCATCTTGAGATCCAGTTCAAGTGAGTTTCCATTTGATTTAGTATTGGTAGACTTGAGCTTCCATTTGATTTAGTATTGCTGGAGCTTTCTTTTGAGATTTGGAACTGAGTTTCCATTTGATTTAGTATGGTAGACTTGAGTGTCCATTTGATTTAGTATTGCTGGAGCTTTCTTTTGAGATTTGGAACTGGGTTTCCATTTGATTTCGTATTGGTAGACTTGAGCTTCCATTTGATGTAGTATTGCTGGAGCTTCCTTTTGAGATTTGGAACTGAGTTTCCAGTTGATTTAGTATTGGTAGACTTGAGTTTCCATTTGATTTAGTATTGCTGGAGCTTCCTTTTGTTTTTCTTGGGGGGGCCAGGCAACAAGACTTTATTTCGGGGGCCCCTGAAATAATATCAAGTTAGGGGCTGAAGTACTACCCCCTTTGTGGGCTTGATTGTGAGCTGAGAATTTGGGATTTTAGCAGCAGGCCCAAATCTAGCAACACAGCATGAAGCATTGCCAGCCTCACCTAGGCTGTCTAGTTACTCGACTAGCTAAGAGGCAATTGCCTGGGCAGGTTGTATTTTTCAGGGGGCCAGACAACAAGACTTTATTCCGGGCCCCTGAAATAATGTCAAGTTGGGGGCTGAAGTACTACCCCCTTTGTGGGTTTGATTGTGGGCAGGTTTTCAACAAGAGACATGTAAGAAACATGGGTTTGCTACAGCTGACAATTTGGGATTTTAGGAACAAGGTACCAAAGATCCAAGGACCAGGTGTTGGCTTGGCTATCTCTCCTCTCCTTTCTCTCCTTTTTTTCCTTTTTCCCTTTTTTTCAGTTTTTTTTTTTTGGCGCGGTTAGCGGGTGCTTGTCTGTATTCCAGGTGCATTCACTAATCTTTTTGGGCCCCCCATTTGTCTTTATTTCGCGTGCATTTATTAATCCTATGTGGACATTAATTACATAGGTTAGCACAACCGGCGGCGAATGTGCGCAAAACAATGCTTCTGGGCACGTACTCCGTACTCCTTCAAATTTGACAGAGCCCACGAAAGGGGGAGGACCCCCAAAAGGAGGTTCCTCTAAATAAATGATGCTGCTTTGGTGTTTCAGGTCAGACAGAATTGCGACCGTGTTTGTTGTTTTCACGAAGGGGGTGGATACTTGTTTAATTTTGGCCTCCCTGAGCTGGCTTGGTTCTCTCCGAGCCACAGGAAACTTTGTGGACGTGAGAGTAAACCAGTCCCTTCAACTCTAGCAGGGGTCAATCAGCCACAGAATAGTTGTTTTCAGTTGCCTTCTGAATTGACTGTCAATTTGTTAAATCAAGAAACCCCCTCCAAAAATAGCAAGCAGCGTGACCTGTCTGCTGCCTTTAAGGAGTCTTATAACATAACAACCACAGTTTCCCCAATTGAAATTCATTCGTTTGCCCTTCGTTTCGCGGATTTGCTGTTGACTCAGTTTGCCATGTGTTGACCCATGTGGGCTGGCCCGAGGTGTGCACCCTAGCGGAGCTGGGCGCGCTGACAACCCGAAGGGCCGGGGGCCCACTGGGGGGGTGGGGGGTTCGGTGTTCGGGGGGCAAACCTGCAGCTTCGTCCGTTCGTTTGCGAAGGTTTTGGGGGTTGAGTGAACTTGGTGGCCCACAGCCGTCCGCCTTAGCCTTTTAGGCTTTTAGGGTTTAGGGGTCGTTTCCATTTAACCCATTAAAAGTTAAACTTTGGCAGGGGATCTGAGGGTAGCCCAGTCAAGTCATAGCTTCGGGTCACCTTCGGATCCACCAATTCAGCTTTATGACCCTTTGCCACTCTTCAGAGCAGAGCTAAGCAGACCACATCATGTTTGTTTCCCCGTTCGGTTGGCTTCTCATTCCCTGGCCAAGCTGCCCGTTTTCTCCCTCAATCTCAGACCTTGATGACCTTTTGGTTTCCTGATTTGGTCAATTTTCTGTCATGGCCCCAAAATTCACTTTTTATACCTCACTTCCGGAGTTCATGAACTTTAAACACCGTTTGGGAAGACCATTCTAGTGGTGAATATAAAGTTTGGACTTTTTCGGGGCCATCCACTCAGCAAGCGAGTTTTACAGTTTTACAACCTTTTATTCCTGGGGTCCTTAAAGATACATTTTGCCCATTTGAAACATGGCTTTTCCCACCATAATAAAAGGACACCACCATTTACAAGGCAATGCTCAGGTGTATAATGTAAGGCTCCCTGTTTATTTTTGGGGTCCTTTGGGCCAAGTCTGAGCCATTGCCCTGGCTCGCTCCGAATCAGGACGAGACGGCGCGCATCACGGTGCTGGGGCGGATGGCCATCGCGCTGCCACTGGCCTGCGCCTCAAACGGCTGGCACGGACAAAAACCGCTGGTTCCTAATAGAGAACATTTGCTGGGGTCATTATCAAGTCAAAGTCAGAAAATGAAATGGTTTGCCATTAAGCCACCACTCCGGGGGTGACTTTGATCGTGGTAAAATGATGAAGCTAGATCTGGGCCAGCGACATCAGCTTGACCAACTACTTGTTGGTTTTCACGGACAGCTAAGATCACCTTTGCCGACTGAATTTGGAGGATCCTTTTTGTTAAACGGTGTTTGGACAGGTATCATTTGAAGTCTGACACTGAAAAGGGGGACAGCGGAAAGGAGATTCCTCTAAAACATGACTTTCTTGTTTGTCGTTTCATGATGCTTTGCAAGCCCATGCATTACTGCATTGAGTAGTTCAGATGTGTTACATTTGGTTCCTCACTTCAACGTGTTTCTCATTTGTTCATGCTATATGCTGGCGTGCAGGTTGCCCATTGCATTCGCTCAAATGAGTTCGGTGGTGCCTTCCTTAGACTAGGGTAATCCCCTTTTCCCCTCGCCCAAAGTGAGCCTGAAATCCCTCCAAGCTGGGTTTTGCGTGTGTCCAAGATGCAGCTTGGATGCGCCTTGTGCAGACACACCTCTGGAAGGCTACTAAAGCGGCAATTAATGAAAGAGTACCAAGCACACGCAACGCAGGAAAGGTGGAATCCACAAACAGTGCACCCAAACCGTCTGGAGAGACCGTGCCCAAAGTCCAAGCTGTTTAGGCACCTTCAGCCTTCAGGGTTTTAGTTTTCCCTTTGATCAAATGTGTAGCCTTGTGGGTTGCTCTTCGAGGGCAGCTCTGCTGGCCTTCAAAACTGCAGGACCTGCGGCTTTGCCGCTTGATCCTTTTCGGCGTGCTCTTCGGCTGTGCGGCAGATGCCGTGGTCATGGATCCGCCCTCAGGGAATGCGAATGAGTTGACTGGGGGGGGGGGGAGATTTTGCGCGAAAGAACTCGACCTTCAGACCTTTCGGTTTCCCAGCCAGTCCTGGCAAAAAAGTAATCAACCCTTGAAAAAGTGAGTCCATTCCGAAAGAAGTGTTTGTTGTTTAACTGTACATGTTGCTTCGGTTCGCGGCGCAGACCTTTGCTCATGTTGCAGAACAGTACTGGCTAGTGCACCCTACTCAGCTTTCCAGGGATCCTTCTTTCTAGAAAACCACCAAACACCCTGGAGAAATGGCCGGTTTTTGAAAAGCACGATGGCTGAAAAGATCTGAAAAGAATGGACAAGGAATCCACCGAGCATACGGGGATTTTTTAGATCCAGGCCTTGAGTCTGTGCACAGCTGATGCGTTCGCATGCGCTTTGCACACAGCGCCCCGCGACACTTGTTTCAGCGGAGTGATGCGCGACACATGTTAGCACACTTGATGGGAACCTTGTACATACTCCTTCTCCCTGTCAGCCAAACATCAAGAGAAGTGTTCGCAGCTCTGAATCCACGGCATACCCGATATGGGTTACATTGCCAGCGCCGACAGATCCACAAAGTCAATCTGACACATCCCGTTGTTTTGGGCACCCTCCTACCCATAAAGGTGGAACCCCAAAACCCCTCATGGTCCGAGGAACGGTTCTGGGTTTCATTTCGCGTTGCCCGCGGGGGGGGGGGGGGTTTGGGGGGGGGGCAAGCGGCGGTCCAAGCTGCCCGGCTCGGAGGCCACCGCCTTGGGCGGACAGGACCCCTTCACCATGCCCATGAGCATCGTGATCAAGGCCGGGGAGAGGCCAAATGCACGGAGAACGTCGGAGCAGTCACAGCCTTGGACAGTCCCAGGGTACACCTGGGCGCCAGTAAAGCAGGGCATCCGAGTCAGCTTTCAATGCATCCTTGAAGGGACCCTATTGGAGTTGATCAGCATAGATCGCCCAAGGGAAGCCTTCAACCGAAGGGTTTCGCTCTGTGGACCGGGCGCGTGTCTAGTTGTGGCTGGGTTTAGGTAGCAGCTTGCCGGTGTCAGAAACCTGGTCGATCGAACAAGCACGCCACCTTCGTGAGCCGGGGCTCTTCCAGTTGTTCAACTTTCGGTGCTCGACGAATCGAAGGATCACTTGAAGTACGCCCGGGCCATCATGCGCTCAGCGGAGACCCGGTGGCATTTCGACCAAGGCGCCCTCAGTGAGCCGGGGCCTCGACCGGCACGGATCCGGACGTTGCTATGGGTGTGTGCAAGGAATCGGACCCCTTTGGGCTAAACGTCAAACGGGAAACACAACATTGAGCCATCAAATCTTTGCAGTGACCTTTGGTTGCGAGGTGAGGCATGTTTGCTGAACCTTGATGAAACCCATGGTGGTTGGAGAAAGGTAGTTAACTTTCTTGTTTGTCCATTTCTAGCTGGAGCTTAACACGTTGATGTCCAGCCTGTTGGGTGATTGCTAATAATAGTGGCACTCCTGCCCATGTGCCACGGTGAGACAGAAGCAAGATAGGATATGGGCGAGCTAATGCGAGCTAGAAGGATTCAACAAAGCTGAACGTCCGAAGAGCTGGAGGGAGAGCGGGAAGCGATTCCGTAGGGCTGCATTGGTTTAGATCTGAGGTGTTTTCAAGCAGGTAGTGCAAGAACACGGTTACCGCTGTTTGCGTTTTGAAACAAAACACTCTTGCAGCGGAACGTCCAGTTCCTGACGAGACTTTGCAAGCCATGCTGCTTAGTAGTCTGAGTAGTTTGTTCTTCTCCGGTTTCATCATGTTTGCCTTCTTGTACGGTTGCTCATCACAGCCAGGCAACCTGCCCAGAGGCCTCACTGGCACTGCTGAGGCCCATCATGCTGCGAAACCTCTTCCGAGCTTGGCTGAACGGTGTCATGCTCAGCGAGTTGTTGGCGAATGAGAAGACCTTCTGGTCATGAAGCGCAGGGGGGTGGGGGGTGGCAAGGCGTCAGTTTTTTTTTTCTCCGGGCCCTAGGTAATTATTGCCTTTGCAGGCATTGGAGGCATGGAGGCGCATACCCCCCACATACAGAGAGGCATGCAGGCAGTTTCCATAAGTTTTTTAAGTAGCATGTCCCCCCGCTCCCCGATTAAAACGAAATGAAAAAAAATGTGTCAAGGCTCCATACCTCCAAATGGGCGTTTCCAAGAGGCATCTTGCGGCACACGCACATACAAGTCTCACATTCTTGACCCCTGCGACTTTCTGGTTACCACTTTGACACCAGAAACATCTGAAAACAGAAGTTCCCACTTCAAAGTTGACGCCGACTTGAAGTTCCCACTTTGGTTTTGGGGCAACTTCGCTCTTGTGGCTTCGATGCCTGAAAACCAGAGGCCTGGGCCCAGAGGAGGCGACCCTGGGCGGCAAGCTGCGCTTCACCAGTGGCCACGGGCCCAAAAGCCGAGGGCTGGCGTCCCGTTTAGGACGGACGTCCACTCCGAGAATGGACCGGAATGTGAGGGGGCACGGGGAACACGGATGGCCCCTTGCCAGCCGGCGGCTCAAAAGTCTGTAGCAGAATGGAACCTTGGCAAATGGAACCGAAGACGCAATGTTGCGTAACCCTGGCGCTTTGTTTTTGAGCCACTCCCAGTTGGTGTGGCAAATGGGGGGGGGTGGGTCGATGTTGGCATGACTGAGGCCAGGCTGAACATCGGTCCTAGCTGCTTTTCAGGATCCTCTGGTGCAACAGATGGGTGTTAGATTGTTCTGCGCGGTCTGGCAGGAACCATGACAAGCGCACCGGCTAAGTATGATCATCTCTATCGTAGCCGGGAATTGTCATACAGAGACATTCACTCAAACCGTGCTGATGCAAGGGTTGTGACATGTGTAATACTTCAGTCTTCCCTTCATTTAGATCGCCACACGAGCCACCAAACCCTTCTACTGTATTTAGACATGATCCAGCTTCTATGCTCCAGTATGACCTGCGCAAACCCGCGTGTCTGATCGAAAGTTGTGTTCGTCCAACAAATATGCAAAGCATGTGGCCGTTTGCAAGGTTGGCAAAGATGGGCGGAGCTCAGCAACGGCTACGTGCAGCATGTGTGTTTTTCTTGCGCTCGAGGTTCAAATCAGCGCCACGTCTTCGTGAAGCGACTTGCCGGCATTGCAGCGAGCGTGATTCAAAGATCCTCAAAATCAGATTGCCCTCTGAGGGGGAGTAAAGGAAAGCAACCCCAAAAGAAAACAACCCTTGAACCCGGCAAAGTTGACACACAAAAGGCATGGATCGATATGACCGGCTTTGGGGAAACAACAAGAAGCATGTTCCTTTGCCATAATTGAGCCTGGCACATGTTTTGCATGCCGCTGCATCTGAGGCACGCGCATGAGTTCGCCAAAAGCCACGCCGTCATGCCGAAGAGGCTGCACCTGAAACATGGTCGAATGTCCTACCTAGTTAATCCAGAAGGGCGCCCCACTTTGAACAATTTCGGCGTTGCAAGGGTTGCCCCTAGGTGATCTGGAGAGGTTGGCCCATTTGCCCCCTTTTCACGTCCTTGCATGAGGATGTGGCCTACCTGTCATTCGGTGTTCGTTGCGGCTGGTCATGTAGAACGCTCGCTACAACTCCAGGGCCTTCCTTTGCCACCTCACTTTGTCTTACATCCACAGGGCCAACCTGATGAAGACAATATTTTAGGGGAACCACTCTTGAATGGCAAACGGGTACTCCTCCTATCCATTAGAGGGATCCTTTGGGCCGGTTTTTCTGTGACACGGGAGGGTGTCTCCACACCCTTGCTCGTAGGCTGACCCAGCTGGCGCTGTCGGTGGTGGAAGTGGCTCAAAGGCTTGGCTGGGACGAGAAAGCTACATAGTCTTTGAGTTGGCTAAAAGGCGATTTGCGAACGTTTGTCTGCTCTATTGGTGTTTATGTTGAAGGTAGTCTTGTTATTCTTGCTGTAAAGCAGGTTGGTCTTTGGTGCAAGGTATGCTAGGGAGGACCTGTTTTCGGTCACTGCATATGGAGACCTTGGTCGGTCAGGTCTCTACTGAATGGGATAAATACTACTGGAGACCTGTTTTCGGTCTGCCTAAAAAGCTGATATTTGGAGTACGGAGTATATTCTTTCAGGCAATTGCAGCATTTGCCCACAGGCGGTCGGTCCAATGCAAGCCCAAGCTCGAAACCGGTGCTGGCGTTGGTTTGGGAAGTTGGCAAAATCGGGTCGTCCATGGAGGGATCCACATGTGTTTGCTGGGTGTTTTGTGGCCCCATTCCCAAGTCCAAGCACACTTTTTTTTAAAGGCCATGTGACCAACACTTGTTTGAAGAGGCATCAGATTAGAAGCAGTCGCTTTCTAACTTGTACGGATGGTCAAAGCAATGTTGAACATATCCGTTAGAACAAAGCAGCGGCCATTCTTTGGTCCAGGTCAAACCTGTCTTTTCTTTTCGTGTTAAGCCGATTCTGGGTTTGCCTTTTCATCTCAGCATAAACGGATCCAAGATCCCAAACATCGGGGCTTTCAATTGTTTTCTCTTTCCCTCAGAATGTTGTGACTGGCTTTCCTGGAAGGGGTCACAAGCATAGGTGTCCTTTTTGGTTGTTTTGGTCGAAGAATAGATGGTTTACCTGGTGGTTTAATCATCTACCAGGGCCATCCATGTCCCCTAAAAGGACGCCTATGCTCTCAGTTGTTTCTATTTCCATCGTGTTGTCAGTGGCTTTCCCGGAAGGGGTCACAATGGTGCCATTTTGGGGTAGGTGCACCACCCATTTGTAGTCTATTTTAGTGGGGAGTGGGATGTTCACTTGCGGTACGATTTGGCTTTTGACCCATGGCCAAGTGACCCCTGCAGAGCCGGGTCTTAGGACGCTGGAGTTTCTGGCCCCGCAGCGGCCCCAAGCGATCCAGAGCGCTGACAGCAAGGGCCAGGCTCAGAAACAACAACATACTGGTTTGTCTTACCTTGGTGGCCCCCAGCCGTCCGGCTCCTTAGCCTTTCAGGCTTTTTAGGGTGCAGTGGTTTAGTGGTAGTTACCATTTAACCCACTAAAAGTTAAACTTTCAGCAGGGGATCTGAGGGCAGCCCAGTTGCCAGGAGCTCGCAGATGAAACGGTTCGCCTTTGGCCTCCTTTTGGGCAGCCTCAAAAGGGCTCTCACACGCATAACTTTGCACCCATGAGGGGTTGGGTGAACTAGTTGGTTGCTTCCTCAAACGCGGCCCCTGCATTTGGAAGATGACTCCTCTTTGAACGACGGCCTCGCCACGTCGCCTCACAGCCCTGTGGAAGCCTTCCCTTTGTGTCGTCCTGAGAGTTCTCATTCGTAGCGTGCATTGTGCAAAAGGTGTTCCCTCTTTTGGTTTCATGGCCCGAAACGGCGCACCTTGTTGTTCAGGCCCTTTGGGTTTGGGCAAGATGCGGGCCCAAGGAATGAAAAGGAGAAGCCTGCTGCAAGCCACGCGCTTAGCTCAAGCGCAGCTCGTGAGGACGAGCAAGCTAATTGAAAGATCGAATCCTTGCAAATGACCCACACCAACGGAAGCGAGCTTATCAGGGCACGAAAGGACTCTTCCCAGGCTTTGTTGTCAGGGTCAATTACCATTGTTTAGTTGGTGAAACATACTAGAGTGTTTAAGAATTATACATATAGTCCCATATATGCCTGAAAGAGTAAGACAGTGCCCGTCAGTCATCGGCCTTGAGCGAGCGCCTTCATGGTTTCATGAAGCCGCTCGCCGGCAAGTAGCGGCGAGGGTCATACAACCGCATGCCCATATACACTCACATCTAGAAACAGGTTGTGTCCATTCATGTCTATACACAGGAATACGTGCACTGTGTACACGTGGGCTGTTAACAAGCGGCATATGCAGCTATGCGTTCACAAATGCACTCAAACATGTATAGACATAGTATATATATTTTTTTTTATGGCACATGCATTTGTATAGGGTATGTATGTTGCATTGCGCTGTATGGTTGAACTTGACAGGGACCAGTAGTGCCCTTTTACCTTCTTTTTGTTTTTTGGGAGGGTTCCCCTACCAAAATAGACTACAGAAAAAGAATGGGCGCCCTTATTCTAACCTCTCCACTGGAGGACCTAGCAACCGAGTTTAGACCTTCAACTTCCGTACCTCGAGCCAGGCCCCTCGCGGCAACGCCTAGAAGCGCTGCTGGCCACCATGGGCATCGCGCCCGAGAGGGCGGCAGGGGCCAAAGAGGCGCAGCTGGCTGCGCTGGTTCGATGCCGGCTGGTCATGACAGGTAAAACTGCCTAATGTTGACCCAGGATTAATATACCCATCCCATTAGTCGGGGGGCGTTTCCCTCCAAAAGTGATGAATCCTTACTAAAAGGGGACACCCCCCTATTAATCAACCAGGGGTTTATTAATCCGGGGTTAACATTGTTTCACGGCGAGCTCACATGGGGGTATCAAAAACAAGCTTGTAGTGATGAAGGTCCTGTACTCGGAGGTCCCTGATTTCAGGGTTGGCCATTGTTGCAGAAATCGCAGATGCAAATGCCTATTGGGTAGAGTCGTCCTTTCAACGGATAGAATGCAATGGTATGGCCACCAAATGCTTGGCTTAAAACATATGGGTCTGAATTTTAATAAGGGACCCTTTGGACATCAAAATACGGTGGGGATTTCTGTCCACCAATCACTTGGTAGGGGGTCCCCCGTTAAAAAAACCATAGCCATATATGTCCCGGCTGAGCCGATCGCAGGGATCGCAGGCCCAGGCACTGGGTTCAGCGTCGGTAAGCCGAGGGCGGCTTTTTCTGTTTCGCTGGGGCTCCCCCTGTTTTGAGACAGACCTATGACCATGATCCACATAGAAAGCCCATTCCGAATTCTGCTTCCTCAAGCAGAACTGTTTCGAGAATTCAAGGATGATCAACCTCTAAGGGCAGAACATGGTTTTTTCCCACATCTTCGTAGCCAAGGGCTCAAAAGCTGGGGCACCACTTGGGGTTCAGGCGGTTTTCGTCGCTGGGGTCAAAAGGCCGCGTTGGGTTTCGGCCCTTTTTTGGCCTCAACCTGGGGCTTGCCCTGTGCCAGGCCAAAAGTGAGGAAATGCAGGCACGAAGCGCGGTAGGGGAATGGCCCGACAACTGGATCCTGGTGGGTCTCGCTGAGCTCCTGGACTTTACATTAGTCTTTGGGAAACATATTTCAGTGGCTTTCAGTTTGAGTTTATCTTTCTATTTTATTGTTTTTGGCAGTAGCCAGATAAGCACTGCAACAGGGCATGCTGTACGACGCACGCAACAAGGCGAAATCTGAAACTGCAAATGTGTGTGTGTGTCTGTATGGAAGAGCCCGAGCGCTGGAATGGATGCTCTAAGCAGGGAGGGCCGCCATCGGGACCAGGTGGAGCCTTTGAAGCTGGATGTTTTCAGTGAGGACTGGGTCGACAGGCAGCCAGGGTCACCACAGCTCATGTCATTTTTAGGGTGGCAAAAATATGGGCCAGAAACTGAACCTGCGATTTTTTGGTGCAGCCCAGATTCGGCCCATGTAATGTAACCTGGAAGAGGCCCGTGGATCATCGCCCAATGGGCCCTCTTTGAGGTTTCTACAGCCCCCAAGCCTTTTTGCCAGACCACTTGGTGACTGCTGGGCCAATGTTCGCTGACATTTTGCAGTCTTACATTCTTGCCGTTCACTGAAATCCGCTCTCGCGGATAAAGGACGTGCTCCTGCTGAAGACAACGCTAACCGCCGCGTTCACGCCGCAAAGCCACCGCGCTTGGGGTCTTTGGTGCGCTTGCCACCCCTGGTTGCCACAATCAGGGAAGATTGAATGTAGTAACATCTAGCCCAGAATTTATAAACCCGTGCTTTGATCATGATCTAAGGGGGAATCCTTCACGGCCTGAGGGAAGGAAACTCTCCACAAGTCCGCCAAGTTCATTCCCGGATCAACATTAGAACTGCGGGCGACCGTGCCAGCAATGAATTGATGCGGCGAGAAGCTCTTTGGATTCAAGACACGGTAGACTTCCTTCATGCATGATTTGCTTGATACCCCACCTGCAAAAAGGTCTCCTCCCATAATTTAACAAGGCGGTGAACCATCGCGGCTCAACACATGCCTCACATGTTCTCCCTCAAAAGCAAGCGTAGTGGTCTTTCATTTGCAGGAATCAATTGGTGCACGGTTAAAGGAAAGAGCTTGGGCTATTGGCGCCATGTCCCGGCACTTGAGGAAGTTTGATATGTTGGGTCCACTGCTCTCCTGTTGAAGTCCTGTGCTTGGCAGTTAGCGGCAAGGCCTCAACCCTGCGGACAATAATCACGAAAGGTAGCCTCAAGGATGGCTAGCTTGAGTTTGTCCTTGCGTTAGCAAGGCTAGACTGAGGGGGTTTGGGGGTCGGCCCGGCCGCAAAACCAATGAAATATCGGCCCCCCCCCTGTCTCCCCTTCTCAAGTATTGCCTTCAGTGTAGGATGCAGGAGGGCAAACAATCCCACTTGTCCAAGTGGCCGACCTTGTTCCCTCGCAGGCGCCCTCCTGAGCTCAAGGTCCAAAACGGTCTACCCAAGACCCCAGCAGACAAGTCCGGTCTCAAAGAAGGAAGGGCTCAAGCAAGACACTCGGCCACCCTCTTTCGAGGGGGAGAGGAATAACTTGTTGGAGACACTCGACTTTTTCTGGCCAGGCTTTATGCACATGGCATCACCCGATGCAGCGGCCCTGGTACGAAGGAGGCATGCACAATCACACATTACGCTGGGATTTCCGGCCCTGATTCTTGAACACGAAAGTTGCAAACATGTGGCATGGACTCCTGCCGCCTTTCAGGCATGGGGCAGCTAGCTTGATGCTTGCATTGGTAATCCTTGGTGCCTGTTCTTGTTGTCATTTTCCGTTCTAGGTCCCCCAGTGGTGCCCTCTTACCCCTTGTTTTGGGGGAGGGACCTAGTGTTGTTTTTTTGCGAAACGTGGTGTCACAAACCCCGCGCATGGCATGCAGCCAGCCGGGACTCGGCCCGAGGCATGGACTACACCTCTGGCCTGAAAGGGCCCAGCTGGAAGCCGAGCAGAGGGCCACTTATTTAGCGCCCAAAATCGATGCCCATTGGCCAGTATCAAAACTCGGGTAGATGAAGGTTAGTAATTAAGGGACAATCCCAGCCAGCAACAGCTGTGGCCGCCTTTGTATTTCCTTACCAGGGTCTGAGTCAACCATTTTAATACCGAGTTTTGATATTGACTCATTTGGCTATGAGTTTGAATAGGGAACCACCTGCAAAGTCGTTGGTGGACATGAATCTTTTGATTTATGTTCCCCTGGCCATTTAATTCCTTGTTCAGTGGCACATGTTGTGTGTTACTTGTTGGTCTTGTTTCATAGGGCTATGGCCTTAATCGAAACCTTGATGACCATGTTAGTAGAACCACAAGTCAATAGGTCAGCAGGTTTTCTGCTCAAGTGACCTTCACAGGTCACCTTGGCTGAAAAGAGACAGGTTTGTGGCTTCAGTAAGTCTAATGATTGTCCAGTGGAGTCCCTTTTTTCCCAAACGACACCTAGGACTGGCTTGATCGCTTGATCGCTCGACAGCCCAAACGACCCAAGCCGAACGGAAACCTAAATGGGCTTTCAGGTGGAGCGCCTGCAGCAGATCCAGCCAAGGCGCCAGCGACATGAGGGCGATTTGAATTTTGGGGTCTCTATTGGGGTATTCTGAACTCTCGTTGTTTTTTTCAGGTTTTTCGGGGCCAGGCTTGCTAGGGCTAAGGATTGCAAGACTAGGGAAGTGGCTGGGTGCCCGTGTTAGGTTCCGCCCCAAATTTACTTAAGCCATCTGGTGCTCGTCGGCTCGCACTCCCATCGCGCGCAGTCCGAACCTGAAGTGGTGATGCTGAAGGCAGAGCCACAGCTGGCGAAGGCGGGCATCCCTTAGAGGCGCTAACATAAAGCGTGTCCTGGCACATGGGATCCGCATGAATGACTTGTGGCACAAAGGCTCACCAGTACCCAGAGTTCCCAAGTACTTAACTTTGTCAACATAAATCTTGTTGATATTACCATCTCGTTACTAATACTACTTAGTGTTATCCTTAGTATTTTAGTTTTATTGTTGTCCTATTCCTATTAGTAGTTTATGTCTTTGCACATGTGGGAATTTGTAAATGACACATCCGCGTCAGCATGCGTCAGCAAACCCTAACACCACACATTTGAGGTCCTTAGGCCCTCCGTGGTAAGGCAGCAGGCCGTGATGTCAGCTTTGTTCAATTCATCCACGGCGTGGCCCGTATGCGAGAGAGCCGCCAGGTTCACACGCAGGCTCTTTCTAGACCAGATGCCTGCGGCCTCAATGCGGAGTTTGCATTTGAGGTCGGAGTTGCACTTGAAACGTGCAAGTGCTGAGCGTTACATGTGCGGCACTGGCTCAGGGATCCTTCTTTGGACAACATGTTTGTAAATCACTGCAGGCTGGATTTGTTAATGCTTACTGAGTCACCCATGTTTGCATGCTTTGCGTTGTGCTTGTGGGCAGCAAGGACAAGGCTTGATGACATTACTTGCCTGTGAAAGGATAAACATGAGGACAGGGGGAGCTGTATCAAGATGCTGTCAGACATGCTGTGCTTGGTCGGACTTTGGCTCTGAAAGTCAGCCATGAGCGCTCACATTGCCAGAGACTCTGGTTCAAAGACATTTGTTGGCTGCTGGATGGCCCATCGTTATTGGCCTGTTGTGTGCAAGAAGCACCATTGTATCAGGTAGAGTGGCGTTGTGGCGCTTTGAGAAAGGCACAGCCAGGCCGAGTTGTTGTTTTTAGCCCCGTATGTGCTGTGCATTCAACTACTGCAGATCGACACACTGCGTTGGGTCGCAGAAACACATGTTTATAGCTGTGGCCGTTGTTTGTCCAATGTCAATGCTTCTGTGCAACGCAATTCGAATCCTCTTTGCGGGCTGTTTGGTGGGAACAGAGTGCGTTGGGCATGGACAAATCAGGCCATGTCTACATCCAGCAGGATGCCGCTTGGCAGTCGCGAGCCTCTTGCGACGCCATGGCAGCAATAACCTCGACCGCGAGATGGTGGCAGCGCTCACGCCGCTCCGCTGGGAGTGGCTAGAACCCAAGTGGCTGTGGGTCAAAACCAATGGTACCATTTTGGGGTAGGTGCACCACCCATGTTAGTCTATTTTAGTGGGGATTGAGATGTTCACTGGGGGTACTGGCTTTTGACCCATGGCCAAGCAATGAAAAGGCCACCATACGGGCGCGTACCCACTTTTCAGGCCCCCTTTGTTAAGCGTTTTTGCGAGGGTTGCACGAAGTGCCAACCTGGATGGTTTTGGGTGGAAGCTTCATGCGGGCTTATGGAAGGACTTTTTTCAGATGACCCCATCCAACGGGGTCTGAGCAGGCCCCCGGGTTGCAGAAGATGCCAAGGGCATGAGGGGCTTTGTTTCACTTCTACGATGCCGTGGAATCTTTCCCCCCATTCAGCGGCATTTTTGTCATTGGGAAGGCCTTCCTTTCCTATAGCTAACACACAACGAACAATCAAGCCCCCACAGCAGCAGTGATTCGGGTGGTCTTTTGCCCATGGACCTGGACATCCGCGTTGCAGCTTCCCGGATTCGGCCACCAGTGGGTCAACTCTCCGAGCCTTAAGGAGGTGACCAAACCCGAAGGGTAGAAACATGGCCGTTTCACCTGGGCCCGCTTGCCTTCCGCCAGTGCAAGCAGTGCAAGCTTGGCGGACCTTCAGGAGGCTTCTGGGAATACGTGGCAGCGTCCGCCCGCCATCCGACGGCCTCAGGCGGCTTTAGCACCTGGCCGGGTCGCCTGCCGCGGTTCCGGCTCCATCAGCCAGGGGAGGACCATGAGCAGCTGCTCAGAGGCGAAGGGGACACCAAGTCCAGCTGGAGGTCGTTTTTGGAGGGTACCACGGTACCATCTTTGGGATGGCTTTAAAGGGGACGCGAGAAGAAAACCACACGCTTTTGCTTTCCCTCTATTCTGGCACAGGGCCAGTCTTGGTGGGCTCAAGGGTGCATTTGTGTGTGGTACGGTTTGACGGGAGCACCGGCCCCCTTGATAGCCCTGAGCTCAAGGTAGTAGTTTGTTTTTGCCAGGAAGTTGTGGATGCCGCCAAAGGCGAAACCTTGGAATGAAGTCCAACTTAGCCTAAGCTTTGGCTGGCTTAATGCAGGACCCATTGGGACGGAATTGACGTACCTTTCCCTGGTAAAATGATGGGGTTAAAGGGACATAAATCACGTTAATGTGAAGAAGGAGATGCTCGTGACTCTCAAAGATGGCATTTGTAGGGACGCATTAAGCTGACGGAAGATGCACGCTCTGCCAGTGGACCCAGCTGTTGGCCCGGGGGGGTTGGGAAAGCGGGTGGTCATTCGTTGCTTGGCCATTTGGTTGCTTGAGCAGTGTTTTGGCTGTTTTGGTGCATTGGTTGGCTCCTGGTTTCGAGAGGACTTGAGTGGATGATAGAAGCGCCGTTCTTGATGCCGACAAGAGGAATGCACGTGTGGGCTAAGTTCAAACTTTGGATTGTTATTTGCGATTCAAAAGGCATCCTCGTAGTGGGGTTGGCAAACACGAGATGAAGGTTCTCACTTCCTCCCAAGGCCCCCCCCCCATTGAATCTGCGCATGAGCCTCTAGGGTTCCCAAGCTTCAAGGAGGCATCTTCAGATTTGGAACGGGGAACACCTTTCTGAGACTGGTGAACATCAATCCAGCCAAGTAAATTATGTCCACCATAGGGTCCAACCAATGAAAGATCATAACGTCATACCCCTGTTGGCTCCGCATGACCCGCCGCCAAACAAAAACACACAGACACAAAGGTTCCAAGGAGGGGTCTTCTGATTGAGGCCGTGTGAGAGGTTTCGAAAACAGCGCTGTTGTTGGGAGCCTTTTGATCGGTCTTTCTTTCAGCTTCCAAGAAAACAAACACAAAACACCTTCCTTTTTGTTTGCTTCCCGGTATGCACTCTCCCCCACCCCCCCCAAAAAAAACAAAGAACAGCACCTGTCAGTGGGTGAGTTTCCCTTGGTATAGGCGATGGGTGCAAGTCCTGGAGTGCCCATGCTGCCAGGTCTGCCCAGCATGGCAGACGTGGAGCACTTTGCCAAGCGCTGGCGGCGGCGGGTGCCCTGCCCTGACCCCTGGGCCTTTTGGCTGCAGCGTGCCACGGCGACTGGGGCATCCTGATGCCAACCAACCCAGCGAACCCACCACACCAACCCAGCGAACCCACCACACCAAACCCAACAAACCCAGCCAAGCCAAACCAAACCAACACCTCCCTTGTACTATTGTCCTAGGATCAGAGATCGCATCCTGATGCCGTAGTGGTTGTGGTTTCCCTTTGTCGTGGTGTCCCAGGGTTTTTAGATCCACACATCTTCAAGAATCCAGCAAAGTGATCTTTGGTTGGAAGATCCTCGAAACTGGCGGGTGAGCATAAAGTCTGGTGTGGTTTTCAAAGTGTCCCCACCCAACTGATGGATTTGGGGCTAGCCAAGAGGAAAGCAACCTTTTGGGGCTCCCCTAATTTTGAGACCAAGGGGAGAAGTGGGGCGCTGGGCTTTAGAGGAACTTGAAGGGCCTGTAGACTTTTCGTTGGGCGGCAAACACGCATCAACATCTGGCACCTCGCTTTCAACAAACCTTTCGATATTTTGCGAATGTTGGTCCAACTGGATTTTGGCCGTGAAATATACACTCATGCAAACATGTCTAACCTGTACATACATATATATATATATAGATAGATAGATAGATAGATAGATTAATGTGTATATATATATATAGTATTATAGATCGATAGACATACATACATATATATATATATATTTCTATTATACATGTAGAATTCACATATCGAGATGCACATGGGCCAGAGTAGCGCCTAGGGCAGACATGTTTTGGGGGCCGCGACTTCCGGCCGAGGCGCCGGTCGAAGGGCTCTACATCCTGGGCCTCTACAGGCGCTTGAAAGCGTGCGCTTTCCGCCCGGTACAGCATTTTTCTCCGGTACAAATGGTGGTTTATGTGGGGAATATCCCTCCAACTACCTTATTCCACGCTGGTGAATTATGAAAAATCACCTAGAATACTTGACTGCTATTGGGTTGGATCTTTAGACTTCAGCTTTTTGGGAAATTAAGTTGGGTTTTCCACTGAACCCCGAAAAAGTTAAACTTTTTGCAGGGGGGTCAACAGCAACCAAGTCTTTTAGTGAATTTCGGATCCCGCAATTCAATCAGATCCCATTAAATTCCCTTGACAAGTGGCGGCCCTAGGAGATCCCTGGAATTTCCTTTGCAAGTGGCGGCTCTAGGTCCCTTTGGACAAACAGATGGCGCTACATGCTCAGGAATTACTTGAAATCAGTGCCATCTACGTGGCCTGAAAAGGGCACCTATGGCATGGCCTATGGTAGCTTGATTGTTTGCAAGCGATGGTGTTGGTGTTCAGGCCATTTCTTTTGGCCTTTGAATGTGAATCAAGCAGACGCATGCCTTCATATTCCTTCATTAAGGTTCCTCGTTGTGGGCATGTTCAATGGAATCTCCTGGGGATCTGAATTTCATTGAACTTCATGCTTGATCACGCTGGCGGAAGCCAAGCAAAGTGACAGCATGTGAGTGGTGCTTGTTTTGGATGCGAGTAAACAAAAATATCCAAAGCTAGCTAAAAACAATCAGCCAAACAGAAGTCAACTAAGTTGAATACCGTGATTTAGCAAGGCGGATTTGTTGATTGACCACCCAACCCCCTCCCCGCAATCCACAGGTCGGTTGCGCACTCCTACTCTTTTCTCCACTCCTCTTCCTGCACATGTCCTTGCATCTGACAGTGGGAGTGCACCTTTTTGAAATCAAGGCCTGATTGGTGTTGGGCGCAGTTGTTCTTTTTGCTCCCTACGCGCTCTGAAGGCCAACATGCCAATTTCCATTCCCTGTTTGGCAGCTTGGGCAGTTACTCGCCCGAACCTCTAAATGGAACCTCTAAATGGAACTTCCCTATCTACAGGCTAATTCTGAATTCTCTACAGGCGATTCCTTTACAGATGGGTGTTTTTCCGGTTCTATCTTGATTGCAGGATGGTAGGTGCCCATAGTGTTCTTTTTGTTCAGTTTTGTTGAATCTGGATGAATTCCGCTGGTTTCAGTGCGGTTCTAATCATTCAGCAGTGCCATCCATTTGACACCCCGCCCGCCTCCCTGCCTCAGTTGTGCCCCGCGCTAACCGAGCCAAGTGCGACCGCGCCAACCGTGCCGTGTGCCCAGCCGCGCCAAGCAGCGCGTGTACCTTGGCCGCTACGAGTTCCGCTGCCTGGTGGAGCACGTGCTTTGGACGGCGAACGTGCGCCCGCAAGAGGCGGGTGAAGAGGCGCCTCCTTGTCGAGCGATGGATCGCGCACTCGCTTTGGGCTGGGTTTTGGGCATGGGATTTTATTCCAGGAGCTCTGTTCATTTGGTGCTTGGCTTCACCGTGTGCATTTGCGGACAGACTCACCCAGTCTCCATTCTTGCATGCGGGATGGCCTCAGATCACTGTGGCAACGAGGGCCTCAGATCACTAATTCTGCGAGACCATGGCCTCGCTCTTTTCGTGAAGGAGTAGCTATTGGTGTGTGACAGACATGGAGGTTGAGGTCACAGAAGCATCCAGGGTTTCCTCCAAGTTGCATTTTGCATAACGTTGGCTTATGATGTGCCCAAAGAGCTCAGCATTCCATATTGCTGTCATCCAGTGTATGCCAGCCAAGCACTCATAGATGAGCTATAGTGTCATTGTCATGTACCAAGCTTGTACCCACTCAACTGGCGTAGTGCTTTCTCCTAAGAAAGCTAACATCGTAAGTAGTCTCTCCGGGCAGGGAGTGGTGGCAGGCCACTTGAACCGCTTGGGATATCACTTTGACCTCTGACTGTTGGGCCTTTAGTGGCCCATAGAATCCCACCATCCATGAGCACATGGAGATGCGCATGTTTGAAGTTATGGCAGACGGGGGAAGGCAGTGACAAAGAAGTTCTTTGGTCTTTCGGGTCGGCCAGGATTTCCCCATTGGAGGTATTTCCAGGTCCATGGGGTCCATGGGTTGCCTTTGAAGGCGCTGCCAGCACACCAGCTGCTGCTTGCGGCCTATGCCTTGGCCCACTGCAAGCAGAAGGAGACGGTTGAATACAATCAACTTACACAAGCCAGCCACAAACCAAGGTCACTACAAGTTGTTTGTGTTGCTTGTTTCGTGGTTGGCTGGCTGGCTGGCTGGCTGGCGGGCTGGCTGGCTGGCTGGCTGGCTGGCTGGCTGGTTGGTTGGTTGGTTGGTTTGTTACTTTGAATTTTAGGAAGGGCAGCTTACGTTTGGGACCTTTGGACAGGGCGTACACAGGTTGCCTGCCCTTGAATTAATGTACCCTTTGAGAGTTGCCCTGTCACTCCAACCATGGTTCAGCAATGATCACGTGGCCATGCGCAAACGGCACCCATGGCAAAGGGCTCCTTGTCACCCGAATTCCACCCGCAAGTGTCCACTCAATTCCAGGGTCCTTATATGTCCCCAAGTTGGGGTTGATTTCAACATTACATGTTTAGCCTTGTTGGAGATTAGTCTCCAATGTTTTTGTTTGATGTGTCAAAAAAGGGGCGAAGACCCAGAGGTGGTTTCCCTTTAAAGCAACCCCTGAAGGGGTACTCAGCAAAAGCAGCTCCCATCTAAGAAGCCCTTGGATTCCCTTTTGATTTTCAGGAGACCTTTCAACAGCTGGTGCCTGCCCTGCGCAGCTCGCTGCAGCAGGGACAGCTGGAGCCGCAGGAGAAAGCTGTCCGAAGCTGGGCTGGGCCATGATGAGACGGCACAACGCCTTGACAATCGTTCTCCTTTGTGTGCCAGCCACTGTTTGGTTTGGTCCCCTCCCTCCCACGAAGATCTGGCAGATTGTAAAGTCGGTGCCCCCACATCCTCTGAAAAGGGGTGATGATCTTCCTGGCCCTAGTTGCGTGCAAAACTGGAAGTGCACACTTGCTACCTTTCCAAAAGGACTGGCGTAGTGGTTCATTTGGAGTTGTTGTGGTTGTTTGAGGGGGGCTGGCTTATATATATATATAGTCGCATAGAAACAAATAAAAAATACATAATATATATATATATATGTTTACAGAACTATGCAAACTCATTTGAACACGATAATGAGCCAGTCGGTGGGGCAAGTACAGCACGCCAATCAAAAGCAACTGCTACATGACTCAAGTGGACCGTCCATGTGCACGCTACGCTCACGGTCCATTCGCTGTCAGGAGCTCGCAAAGCTCGCGTGGATGTTCTCCGTGGCCACGCTGCCCAACGATCCCTTGCTGCCTACAGTAGGCGCTGGGCGTAGTGGGAGGGCGGAGTGCGTGGCAGGACATCCACCTTTAGTTGTCGCACCGCCTAGCCACACAATGCAACCGCCGCCTACGACATCATGCGATACTCCAGATGCGAAACAACAAGTAGGACAAAACCTGTAAAGCACACATTTCTAGCTTGAGGTTGGTCTTGGACGCAGCTCCTGATTGGGCGGGCCTCCACTTGGCGTTTGTGCCCGAGGGTCGTGGGTCGTGTGCGGCGTTGGCGTCATTTCAAATCCGGCTGCACGGCCAGTGGGTCCAAAGAGCCCATGGACCTTGTGGTGCATGGGGCCCCTTGCGCCTAGGTTGATGAGCGGTTCCCTTTTCGCACCCTGTTCGGCGATCAAGAATCAGCTGTACTTTGCACACAACTTGCGGCTTGCGGGGGGAGCCTTTAAAATGTTTCTAAAGACTTCCGTATTTACGCGACTCCGTTGACTGAGCTACGGGATTTGATCACAGATGGCTGTGTGTCAAAGCTAGAGACCCTCAGATAGTCCTTCACCAGACCCAGAAAGTGTCCCCAATCCTGCTTCATACCGTATCGCATATCCAGAAGGCGAATCTTTACACAAGCTCGGAAGTTGGGACGAGTAGATTGTGGTGTTTTCGCTTTGAAACTTCGAGATTTCCAAAGAGGAAAGCAGTGGTTGGCCTTAGGCTTGGGGCTTGAACCGCAGCCTTGTGTGGCTAGGAGGCACTGCGCTGCAGACTCCCGGCATTAGGCCAGCAGATGAGTGCTCACCGGGTTAGGTGGCGGTTTCTTCAACGGCAGCGGGGCAAAGTACGCTGGGACGAGCATGAAAGAATAGCGCAACTGCGTGTTGAGAGACTAAGCCTGTTTTTTTGGGATTCAGCAGTTGTCGCACTATTTTTGTTGATGGGACTGAGGCAGCATTTGAGCACCTCTAAGGGTGGCACGCAGGACATGTGCTTGGGACCTGTTTGGACTTATTGGCCTTCCTTAGAAGCATCAGGGAATTGAAATGAATGGTTCGCTCCCCCAAGGTTTTTGGTCAGGGTTTCTTAGATGGTTGTCATCGCGGAATGTGGGCACCTGCCCAGTCTTGAAGGACTCTCTGCGTCTAGAATGGCTCCCTATCCGTTTCCATGATCGGTCAGCTTGTTGACTGCGAGCCACGCGACATCCGGATCATAAACTCGTTGGCCAAGTCGGCAAACTCACGCTCGCAGACCCGCAATCTCCTGTTGCATGACGCATGGCGGGTTTTGTTTGTGCAGCCCCTCATCCAGCAAGCGTGGAAGCTGACACGGTTTCGAACAACTGCATTCCTCGTGAAGAGGGTAATAACTATAGCGGCAACTTTTCTCAACATGAACCTTCAAAGAACGCGGTCAAACTTCTGAGCCTGGTAGCCATCTTGTGGTCACGTGAGAATTCGAATGTGTCCCTCACTCGGCATTCCACCAATATATGGCAGTGATTTTTTTGAGGGGTCTGTAACAGAGCCGCGGCGGACATTCGTTACAGACCTCGTTACAGACCTCTGTAACAAGACACGCGGGCTCGTTACACACCCCTCGTCACACACCTTTGTTACACACCTCACAATATTAACATGCCCCGCGTTACAAGGCCCGATGCATACCCAGACTCTCGGTGATTTCCCATGAGTGCCTGCAGGGCAGACTTTTGCAGAGCATGCTTTCGCTGAATGCAGCCAACTAGTAGGGAGGGGCCGCAAGAAAGAATCTGTGCAATACCTCGAGACGCACCTCGTTACATAGCCGTTACAGACCTCGTTACAGACCCAGCCCCAGCCCGGGCCAGCGACCCCCTTTTTGCCGTCGCTTGGCTTGCGTTGAGGTAGTTGCAAGTTTCAAGCTGCAGCTGCGGGCGCGAGCTTTGCGCACTGCGCATTACGTACTGCGCTTTTGCTATGCCTCGTTACACACCTCGTTACATAGCCGTTACAGACCTCGTGACAGACCCAACCCCAGCCCGGGCCAGCGGCCGACCTCTTTTGCCGTCGCCTGGCTTGCGTTGAATTGTTGCAAATTTTCAAGCTGGAGCTGCGGAGGTGCTGCGCTTTGCCCTGCCTCGTACACACCTCGTTACATAGCCGTTACAGACCTCGTTACAGACTCAACCCCAGACCTCGTTCCAGACCCAACCCCAGCCCGGGCCAGCGACCCCCTTCTTGCCGGCGCTTGGCTTGCGTTGAAGAGTTGCAAGTTTCAAGCTGCAGCTGCGGGCGCGAGCTTTGCGTACTGCGCTTTGCTATGCCTCGGTACACACCTTGTTACATAGCCGTTACAGACCTCGTTACAGACCCAACCCCAGCCCGGGCCAGCGACCCCTTTTTGCCGTCGCTTGGCTTGCGTTGAAGAGTTGCAAATTGTCAAGCTGGAGCTGCGGAGGTGCGCTTTGCGTACTGCACTTGCACTGAATAGTTGCGACTTTCGAGCTGGAGATCCACATTGCGCAGCTGATGCTTGTCAAGCACTATTTTCCCGTTACACACCTCCGTAACAAGGACCCCCGTTACAGACCTCCGTAACAAGATTCGTGCCGCGTCGCGCGTTACAGACCCTTAAATAAATTCACAGCCATATATATATATATGTGCATATATGTGCATATATGTGTGTGTGTGTTATTTGATTTGTCCGGCTTGTCACGCACTCACACATGTGAATACATACATGATATAGTGTATGTATATATATATATGGTACCCCCCCTGGAATACTCAGGTGTTTGGCCAGAAATTGACATTTTGGCTGTAAAAATGCATGCAAAACACACGTTCCAGCTTCTAAAATCAGGCTCTAAGAAATGCACTCCTTTTTAGACTTAAATTCTAGCATCGGTACTTAGTGCAATCCAGGATGTGCTAGCACGTGCTAGCACGTCCTGGATTGAAGATTGAAGATTGAAGATTCTCAGACCACTTGTTCTGGAAATCTTCAATCTTCAATCTTCAATCCAGGATGTGCTAGCACGTGCTAGCACATACCAGTTTGTCTTCAGGATGGATTGAAGATTTCCAGAACAAGTGGTCTGAGAATCTTGAATCTTCAATCTTCAATCCAGGATGTGCTAGCACGTGCTAGCACATCCTGGATTACTCTAAGTACATATTTGGAGAATTTCAGAAAGAGTTGTCAGAGAATCTTGAATCTCCCATCCAGAGCCTGGCTTGCCTTAAGTGCGGATTTGAAGAATCCAAAAGGCAGACCGGGAGCGCACGTTGTCAGAATCAAAATGTGGATGTGCACTTGCACTGCCTGCAATTGGCCAGGGGGAAGAATGTTGCTGACACCGTTACATTTTTGTGGACTTGAGGGCTGGCCAGGATGGAAGGTTCTCAAATAGAAAATCTGGTAGATCTTCAATCTTCAATGCAGGGGGCGAAGCCTTGATGAGTCTAGAACAAATTGTCAAGTTTTTGGGGGACCAGGATTGAGTACATTCTAAACATATGTTTGTGGAATCTTGTATATTCGATGTTCGATCCAGGGCAACACGATCTGAGCAAATGCTGAAAAACATTGCGTTTTACAGCATTTATGCAAAGAATAGGATTTATGACTGAAAACACGTTCCTGTCATTGGCTTGGCTCAGTTCTTGCTTAGTTCAAACCACATGGAGTTCGAAGGACAATAACCCTTTCAAAATTGAGTTTGATTGCAAAGTCATTTGGCCATGGCAATAGCTACCTTCTCCAGTTGATTTTTGAAACGCACAAGAAACTGCAAACGAGTAAACTTGAATTTGGTTTGAACTCGAACGCTTTTTTTTAACTGGCTATTCTTCCCTTAATTGAATTTCAATAGTTGTTAGTGGCGATGATGGAACCAACTTAGACAAGCAACACACACACACGTGGGATAGTTGCTTTGCAACATACGTTTCAATTAGACTGAACTAGCATGTCAGGAACTATGCGCAACACTCGAGTTAACATGTAAATGCAACTGCGCAAGGACATCAAGTAGGAATGAGTTCCTTTTCCCCGAGTTGATGTTTTGCCGAACGAAATCAAGTGGCTGTCAGGCTTCTTGCTTGAACTTCAGCGTTTTTGCTGTCGCGCGAAGCTTTCGATTGAATCGGCTTGCGGACTTGCGCTACTTGCGCTCTGGAGGTCGGGGCTTTGGCGAATTGACGCACTGGCTTTCTTTGTTTGTTGCAAGCAGGCAAATTTCATAGACTGCAAGACCGTACTCAAGCGCTAGCCAGCTGCAAAAGAACTTCAGTCATCATGGGCGGACGCAAGGGATGGAAGGGGCAGAGCAAGGCATCTAACCCTAAGGGCAAAGGCATGGGTTCCGCCCATGCGGTGGCGAAAGAAAACAGCTACCACCTTGATGTTCTTCGAGCGTACCCTGGCGCTGACGGGTCAATTTTCATTCGCCGCAGGCAAGCGACGAAGGATTTGGATCTGATCAGTATGGATGGCCTTGGCGCCCGCCTCACGTCGGAAAACGCCGAGGCGTGCCGAATACTGGCTCTCAATGCTTGCAGCCAGCGTCTTGCAAGCGGAGGCGACCGTCCCCTGGGCCTTAGACAACATGGAGAAGACAGGTCTCCCGGGCCTTGCGGACAGCTTCACCGCCGAGCTAAAACAAGCTTGCACCGTTCTTGACCAAACGCAGCACACCCAGGCATCGGAGACGGAGATTCGCAGCGCCGTGACGGAGGTGCTGACGCACTTAAACTCCGAGGAGCTCGTGTCGCAGTGGCAGCGAGCTGCTATTTTGAATTTCGCTGCCAAACATTTTTTTAAAACAAAAAAACACCAAATAATAGGGCTGCTACAGGCGCGTTGAAGCTGCCAAAACATACTTTGCGCACTACTCCTGTGCTGAACAGTTGTGTTTTTTTGAGCTGGAGCTGCCTAATTGCACTTTGCATACTCCAATGTGACTTTAAGTGCACTTCGCGCACGCCAATGTGACGGTCACACAACTCGCAACTCCTAATCAACGTTGAGCTTAACTTCTGCTTGGTTAGAATTTGCATGGAGTTGAGTGTCCAGTTCATTTCAGAGTCTCGGGGCATTTATTTGTTACCCCCAGTCTGGCCAAAAACCTCAGTTCTGTCCAAAAACCTGAGTATTTCAAGGGGGGGGGGGTAGCGTATATATACATATATATGTGTGTGTTTCTGTATACATACCTATGTGTGTGTGTGGGTGCGTCATGGAAGTAGGGTACCTACCATACAAACACATGGCTATACTCTGCACCGCTGGCGCAGGCCGCAGCACCTGTCACAGATCGCCCTGGCCCTGGCTGCCTCAGAGCAGGAGGAGGCCATGTCCAAGCTGGAAGCGGTGCTGACGCATGGCTGAGATGACGTCAAGGGGCGGGGGGGGGGGTTGCTCAAAATGGGTAGGGCGCAAGGCCGCATTTTCCAGGCAAGTGCCCTCCCAGTTTCTAGGGGTAGTTTGGGCCCTCAGAGATTATGCTGTTCAAAGCCAGCTTCCGGAATCCATAGGTTTTTCCGCCGCCGCGGATTGCGGACTAGGATTTGGTATCCGCCGTTTTGAACAACCGTGACAGATCCAAGGGATGTTTTCGATTTTAAGGATCCTTCGTTGCAGCAAAGGGCATAAAGCTAGGGGAGAAGGCAAGAACGATGGTTGAACATAGTGACAACAACAAGTAGATCTGCTTCAATTAGAATGATCTCCCCGACCCATTCTTGAAATCCAGCTTGGAATTGTGGCATTTTATAATCTATCCGGACAACCCCGCGACCGACAAATTCAATTGGTTCATCTGGATGTCCATCATGCGCTCGCCGGGCCTTTTTCGGCCACGCGATGGCCGGCCAGTCGAGGGAGCGGCTGCTGACGGAAGAGAACATCCAGGAGTTGAAGCCTATGGACCTGCAGGCGCGAACTTAGGGGGGTAGGGCGGTGGGATGCGGTTGGGGCGTGGGTGAGGTGGTTGTCCAGGTGTCCAGAAATGGCTTTTGTGCACTGGCCTTCAGATTGGCAGTCCTATCTTAGAGAAGAAGCTTCATGTACATGGGCTTTTTGGAGGGTACATGTTAATTTGTGGGGGTGTAGGTGTTAGACTCTCGGACTCTTTGTTTGTTACCTTCTGTGCATTGCCTCAATGAACGTTCCACTGAGCATTCTATCGGCTTCTATGGAGGACTCGGCGTTCTTTCTTCAAACTTCCCCTTGCTTTTGGTGTTTGGACAGGCCCTTGAGGCCCAGAACCCTTTTTTGGATGGTACCGTCCCACCAACTTTTCTGTGCAAGTGCACAGACCCCTGGAGGGTCGTTTCAGAGAGGTCCCGGTTGGTCCTCTCTGCCAGGGGCAGCCAAACCGGGTTCCCATCGAAGCCAGGCCCTGGCCTCGGGTCTGCTGCGGGCGCCGCAGCGCATGGCGCGGTTCCTGCCGCACTTGTTGTCCCCGCGCATGGATCGCCGCGGCCTGGCCGGGCTCCCGGCGGTGGGGACCCGGGCGGCGGTTTTGGGCCGGCGCTTTGGTATGGCCAAGTCCGGTGGGTTCAGGGTGTTTTCGCGTGGTGTGTGGTTTGTTTTCTTGATGCGCATTTTGGGGCCGCTTCAATGGAGGGCAACGAAAGGAGAACTACGGAGATATACATGCTGGTGAAAACTATTATTTCAATCGCTCAGCATGTTTCGAGGACATTCGGCAAAGTGAAAGTACGCACAAACTACATACACAGCAAAGGCTCAATTCAAAAGGCCCACGCCAGCTGGCATCTTCCTTTGAGCGGGCTCCTTGGAAACACCAAATTTCGATAGTACTAATTCATATAGCACTATGCTCGTCAACCTTGCATTCAGTCTGCAAGCTTTGCAGACATTGAAACCATTTGCCAGAAGAACCGCCATGGAGCCCCAAGAACAAATGGGTAGAACGGTAGAACCCCTGCCCCCGAAAAAAGCAATGGGTACAACGGCAGAACCCCCCTCCAAAAACAAAAAACGATAAAAACAATCAGCGGAAGCATATGGGTGTGGCTCAAAATTAAGCAGGAGGGGCAAACCGCAGGTTTTGGTCCATGTTTCCACTTACCAGGGTTCGATTTTTGGTACCAGTTTTGTGAGCCACAGCCATATAACACCTCTTTTGGGGGCGACTCCCCCCTCCCCGGCCCCCCCCCTCCCGCCAAAAAAAGAGAAAAACAACAATGGGTAGAACGGTAGAACCCCCCTCAAAAAAATAGAAAACAACAAAAACAAAAACAAAAAAACACAATGGGTAGAACGGTAGAACCCCCTCAAAAAAAGAAGCAACCGAAAACAGCGGAAGCCTATACATCACCTCTTTAACACCTCTTTTTGGGGCCGGGAAATGGGTTCAGAGGTCATCCTCTACCGCGCCTTTCAGCAGCACCGCGGCGCGCTGAGCGCGGAGGACTTGGCGGCGATCGAGGCGAAGAACCGGGAGCTGATGGCGGACATGGAGGAGATGCTGGTCAAGGCATCGGACCGACCCAAAAGTCGAGCGACATGCGATGACCTTTGCTTTTGAGGGGTTTCCTAAGTCAGCCTCCTGAAAGCCGCCTTGCTGTCCGAATTTCCTTTGAGGGGTGTCCTTTCAGAGTCAGTTCCACAAATAAGACCTCCAGTGTTGCCTTGCTTTCCTTTGCTTTTGAGAGGCTTTCTTTCAAAGTAAAAACTACGAGAATAAGAGTGCCCATATCAAAGTGATTTTGAGAGCCTCTCGAAACCGTGATTTTGAGAACCCGTGAGTCAAAACCTTCACGACCACGTTACAGGGACGCCTGGAACGTTTGGCAGGCTGCCGCGCCTGAGCCAACTCCCTGGGCAGTGGCAGCGCCTTCAGAGTACCAGCAGCTTCTGCAGGAGAGTCAGACTCTGGCGGTTGCGGGTGGATCGCGGGTGGCTAAGCTGGGCTTTGCATTCGGCCGTTTAGCCTTGTTTAGGGAAGGCATACAGATGCCAGGTAGGGTTTAGATAGGGAAATTAGGGCCCCATACCAACGGGCCCATGCAAGCTCGATTGGAATCACGTTTGCCGACCTGAGTTGAAGGACACCCTTACACGCTTTGTTCCAGTGCAAACACATTTTCACGCTCGGAAGAACAAAGCGACTTGACATATGAAAAAATGGACCCCAACTTGACCCCGACAGGTTTCCCAGCTCCGGCTCTTGGAAACGCTTCTCCCTGTACTCCACCAGCTGCTCCTGGGGGAGAGGGAAGGGTGAGCTCATGGAAAGCTGGCATCGTAACTTGTTTGCCCTAAGTGGCTTGCTTCCCAGGCAACCCTGAAAGTTAAATCTATGAGCTATAGGAAATGAGGCCAAGGCCAAGGAAGGTCTTACCAGGCACGATAAAACAGATGCTGGCGTGCGGCTGATGGACCCCCTGAATTTTTCATGCCCTTCATCGCCTTTGCGGTGCAATTACTGTTGCCTCTGAAGTCAAATTGAATGATGAAGTGAGCATCTGCCTATGCCTACATAGATGCACAGAGTTTTGCGTTTGCCAATGGGTCTAGATGGGAGAGTGTCCAAATGACAGAGTTCCAATGTGTCTTAGCATGCGTTGGTCGTGGTACTCACACATGCCATTCACACGCTCGGCCTTCCCTCCTTTCATATCTCGGCCTGGTGGCACACAGGAGCCGAACATCACGGAGGACAGGGTTGGGCGCCGAAATGAGTTGGCGTTCAATGAAATGGCGGTTGACATGTGGGTATGACTCGGCTTCTTTGGGACACCAGGTGGTTGACTTCCTTCTGCCTTTTCGGGTTCCTTTCGGGGGATCAAATGTCGCAGCTTTATGTTGCAAAAAAGTTGCATTCAACTGGCTTTGGTGCAGTCTTGGGGTACTGGTCAGATATACGTGCGTTTTGGAACACCCTCTACTGACGCCTGGTTGTGTAACAGGATCCAGCCAGTTTCCCCCTCCCCCCCCCTTGTGGACTCCAGGTGGTTGACCTCCGTGGGGTTTTCCAGGTCGTTCAGCACGTTCAAGTTTGGGGCGACCTTTTTGCTGGCTCCCTTCTTGGAGTACCAAACTTGGGGAAGGGAAGGAACTCCTTGACCAAAACCACTCACTCCCGCCCCCCACCCCCCCACAATCCCAAGTTTATAGAACGGCTGCTGCCGCCCGCAAATACACACCACCCAAAAACAAGTCACGTCTGTGTCAATTTTAGTCCGCCCCAGGAGGGGCTGTGACAGGTGGTAGGGCTCAACGCCGAAGGTGGACCATGAATGCACCGTCGCCCTGCTGAACCGCCTGGGCATCACGACGGACTGGCAGCAGCAGGTGGGGGGCACAGCGTTTTTTTTTCTTCCACCCCTGTTTTTTCTTCTTGGAGAGGCCCTTCAATGGGTCTGTCCATCACCTCTTGTGACCCCCTCCCCGCCAACAAAAATAGAATTAAGAGAAAGAACAACCACAAGGGCCAGACCTCCCACAAAAAACAAGCAACAAGTGCCAGGGAGAAACAAGCAACAAGTGCCAGGGTTGGAAACATGGAAGCCAAAATCATGCCCCGTGTTTAGGGGAATCCCCATTTGGGAATGGAGTCAACTTTTGGAGCACACACCAATTTGCAGGGGAGTACAGTGGATAACCTTAAAAATGGTATGCAAGTGGACCAACCACATCCAACATCAGCCCCCGTAAATGTACAGGGTTTCCCCTAGGTGTTTCTGACATCAGGGTACCCCTGCAATGGCAACTGTTTCCCATGTTTCCTCTTTTTTTCAGCCATCCGAAAGGTGTGCGGGAGTGCCCCTCGGAAAACCTCTCCTGACAGTTTTGGAATTTTCGGTAAACGGGGATGCCTGAAAATTAAAAATGGTTCTCCATGTGACTATGAATTGTCATAGGCAGGGACTTCTCAAGTCCCCAGCCCTATCCAAATTCAGACAAGTCTTGCCCAGCAGCTCGGCAAACTCCCCCTTTAAATTCCTGAATCCCCGCCAATCCCAATTTTCCCCCATGAAAATTCACAAATATTCCCCTCTCCCCCCCCCTTTGTGCCATGAGCTAACACTCCCTCACCGGAAGCTCCAAGAAGGCAGATCCTGTAAATGAAGCCAAGTGGTCAAAATTCAGCCACCAAAAAACCGCAGGTTTTAGTCTTTGGCTCTATTTCCCGGGGCAACCCATTTTGGGGTTACCCTACGCTTGACCCACAGCAAGTCTTCCGGGCCCGATCGAACGACCGAACGAACGCTGAGCTTCGGTAGGCGCCCGCCTGGGAGCTCCAGGCGCGGAGCCTGCTGCAGCGCCTCCGCTCGGTGCCCTTCCTCGAGGCGCCTCTATATATATATATATATTTGTATGTGTATATATATATATATGCTCATTTTGAATATATATATATACATGTATGCTCATTGTTATATATATATATATGCTCATTGTTATATATATATATGTATGATCTTTGTTTATATATATATATATGCATGTATATATATATATATATATATGTATGCTCTTTTGTTTATTATATATGTATATATATATATATATACATATATATATATATGTATGCTCATTGTTTATATATATGTATGCTCTTCTTTATATATATATATATATACACATGTATTCTGCAGGGAGGGAGGGGTTAACCAAGTGAGAAGCTTTCTGGGGCCATGGAACATCTAAGGGGCTGTAGAGTAGAATCTGTTTGGCTATTTGGCTGGATCTTTGGACTTATGTTTTTGGGAAACGGTGAGGGAACGTAACTCAGAGTCGGTGGGGTACTTTAACATGTTGAAGCCACATTGGGTCGTCAGTGCAAGGGAAGAATTGCTTCTCCCTTGTATTTAATCCCGCCTCCACATTCAATACATACGATTACTGCGAACACATATTTATTAATTGGGTTCCAGGGGGTTCCATTACGGTCCTCGTTCAACTGGTGTCCCTCCCCCCTTTTGCCCGGCACGAAATCCGTGAATTTACATGCTCAAGGCACTTGTTTGGACTTGCCTTTTTCAGATGTAAAAGGCGGAAATAAAATTACTAGCAATTTGAGCTTGCAATTGAAAGAAGTGACGTGCTGGAAGTACTCCCAAATAAGGGCTGTCAGAAGTTTAGTATTGCTTTAGTATATCTTGGGTCAATGAAAAGTAAAAGGGTAAGGTCGTTTATATTCGTGGGGCTGGATGAATAATCGAGGGAAGATGTTTTGCTTTCTTGTGTACCTCAGGGAAAAGCACAATTAATTTGCCCAGCCAGTCGACTCGGCGGGGTCAGCACATATTTGCCTGCGGGGTCCGAACAAGCTGGGTGGTGTTCGCCCATCGGGGCGTCGGGGCGGCAGTGGCAGCGGACTGCCAGGCACACCCGGTGCCCAAACGCGAGCAGACGTTCGGCTACGCCTGGTGGTCTCTTCAAGGCGCGCTCTCGCGCTCTGAGCTTTGCCCCTTCCCTGCAGATCTAACATGGAGCTCCCCCAACAAAGGTGGCTGGGGTTCTGAAAGGAATTGCTTTTGGGACTCCTCCTTGGGGCTACATGTTAACTTGGGAAGTTGAAGGGGCTACTACGCTGAAGCTTAACTGGTATGGGTACCCATTTGAAGTTGTTTACGGAGTAAGCCAATGGGAGAGAACCCATTTCTTGGGTTTGGTTGTGTTTACCCCTGCAGGAAACAACCCAGGGACAGCTTTTTTTTCCAGACCATGATGCACATGGCCCGGTGAATCTTGAAAGCCTGAAGCGAAGAAGAGCATTTGATGTAACTGCATGTCCTATGCTCATGTTGCATGAACTCTCATGCAACTTCACACGACAAAGAATCACACGCTTGAGCAGGGCCCAACACTCCAAGGCGATCAAGTTTGTGATCACGGTGAAACTCCGGCAGGTTTCCAACATTGATGATTCGGGTGTGTCTTCAATGAAACGCACAGAAGTCTCCACCAGAGCGTCCGGCAGGGTTCCAAAAGCAATTTCATACCCATTTGGGTGTGTCTTTTTTAGGGTACCCTTTAGGGGCGGTTTTAACCGGAAACTACAACGAACACCAAAACACATACGAGCCGCACCCATTTTTGGCCCGATGTTTTTTTTCCCCGAGTTCCCGGCAGGGGCTGATGCGCAGACCTCTGGCGAGCTTCTTCTGCGCAGCGGGCATCACAGTCGCGCCTCCGGCTGTCTTTTGGGGCCTCTCTTCCAAAACCAAGTGCCAACCCACCTGACAAGGGGTCCCTTTATGAATGAAAGGAATATTTTCTTCCAGGACCCCGCTGTTAGGTTCTATGTTAGTTGGTGGATGTTCGACTTTCCTCACGACTAGTCTTTGTCCACGAGCTTCTCATCGCGCACGGTTGGCTGGCATCCGTGGCAACGTGAGTGGAAACAAGGTTGGGCAACATTGGCTTCAATTTTCAAGAGCAACCAGACCATAAATCCTGTTGAACTTCAAGAATTAACTTGGATGGGTGGAGCATGTCCCGTCACCGAGGAGCAGCTGTCAACCAAGGAGGCGGTGATGAACGCAGGCGGAGCACACCCCTCAAAATGTTTCGTGCCCGCGGCAACGTTTCTATTTATCTTGGCCTCTTCGATTCGTTTTTGCAAAAGCGCTTGTGGTGGTATTTGCAAATTTGCGGCAGTAATTATGATTGCTGCATTCAGGGTCAAGAATGACAGAATGCTTCCCCTTTATGTGCCTGTGAGCTATGTAAGCTCCTCGTCTTTCATGTTGTGGCATGTGCTTCATATGCATGTCAATACCAAAAGGCACCTGCCCGACTCCCCTGCTCAGCTATAGATTCATGAGCCGTCTTTGAGCTTAACGTGGCCGGACATGTATTTTACGTGATTGGGGAACCCCAATGCATGGCAATCCAACCCCCTTCAGACTTCCCCTCTGATAGCTATAGCGGCAACCTATGTCTGGGATGAACTTTCATGTGGGCGGTCAGCAAAGGGAAGCCAGTTTGGAGCCCAAAAAGCAATGATATGTTAATGATACCGCAAAAGTATTTCTGGAGTGACACAAGTCTGTCAGCTTCCAATTTCTTTATACGCGCGGCATTCATGGTTTTGAGATGCTGTCTGGTTGAATGTGAGGCTATTCCCTTGCCCAGTTTTGTGTTTGCTGAGCGCTTCTGAGACGGGGGTCCCTGTCATCCGACTCCAAGGGACTTAAGGCAATCTCCAGACATGGGTGCCACTTATTCGGGAAAAGACGGGAAGCCCGAAGTTTTGCAGCAGTGGAATGGCTTTGCAGCTGTGAGAGTGGCTGTTACTTGCCCAGCGCAAAAAGAGGACGCCCTTCATGCATTGATTGATTTCACAAGGGCAGCCTCTTCCCCATGTACATTCTTACACACTGAGACTCAAACCATTGGGGGTCAGGTGCGAAGTCCCCAATCCCCCGTCACTGACTTTCCAAAAAGAAGAGCAAAGGGGATGGGCAACTGGGCAACCAAACCCCCAAAAACCAGACCCCCGGCAAAAGCCAGACTGCCAAAAAAATCAAGCAGACTCCGAGTAAACCCCAAGACATGCAACGCATGGGGCAGGGGGCCTGGGTCTTAGCCCAGTTCCGTGGCACCCCTGGTGCCGCTGACTCTTAGCAGTTTCTGCCGCAGCGCTGATTGCGAGATCCAGGCAACTCTGCGGAAAAGGGGTGTGAAACGAAAGACATATACCCCCTCCCACTAACATAGCACCTGACAAGGGGTCCCTCCAAAAGGAAACCGATCTTCCAGGTACCCTCCCACAGGTGCCATGTTAGTGGGAGGAAGTACGGGTCACCAAAAAAGGTGATAGACCTCACCTCCTGAGCTCCAGGACTTTCTTATGAATACTTGTAGGGAAGACAATTTTAGTGGCAAACCAAAGGGTGGTTTACCAGTGAAGGATTTATCTAAAGGAACTGGAGGGCTCCTGATTTTTCCCTGTTTCGTAGTTTGAAACGTCACCTTTCAGGCCAATTCGTCAGGCGAGTTTCCTTGAAGCGGGAGTGTTTTGGCAAGGTTCCCTACCCTTTGTTAAGCACTTTCCCAACCGAAAACTAGGCCTTCAAAACCTTCGTGTCAGCTTCCATGGCCAATTTAGAGAGACTCTTGAAGTGATTTTCAAGGAGAAACTATACGCGGACCTGTGTAGCCAAGCAAGCCCAGAAGGTTAGTCCCATCCCTCCAGCTTCAGGTGTTCTGGCCGGTTTCCAACTCACAACAACCAACCGCGCTTTGGCACCGTCCTCTTTTGGTTGGCCAGTCACACCCACTCGGGTTGGCGTGGAACGCTTTGATCTAGCTGGCTATCTTGAAGGAGCAATGCGTGTCGATGAAACCGCCAGCGAGAATGCTGCAAGGGTGCTGATCAACATCATGAATGTGGTTGCAAGTTGTAAGTGCTTGCAACATCTTGCAACTTTGCTACGAGGTGGCAGGCGTCGATTGGTTGGCTGGCCTAGTCAATCAGCCAAGCCGGCGCTGAACTTCAGATGTTGGCTTTCGGCTCAGGTTGCCGCAGCGCGGCCTCAGAGGTCGAACCCCACACTTTACCAATGAATAGAATGGACCCGAAAGGGTGTCCTTTGCTTGAAAAGGAGATTCCGAGATTCCGAGATTCACATGATGGGTTGAAAACAACTCATTCAACTCATTCTTAACTTTTCAGGGGAACTCCTGGCCTTGGGATGAGCCAATGAGCAAGGATGATGGGCAATTTTACCACAGATCAACCAGACGAGCGCAACAAGCTCCGGAGGCCCTCGCAGCAGCTTTGCGTGAGGCAAAGCAGCTAGGTGGCAGGCGGGAGCGGCCTGTGAAAAGGATTGGGTTTGCAAATGGGCGGTTTCCTTTGGTTTCCCTTTCAGACCCCAAAAAGGCTACCCTGAAACGAAGACGCGCCCATCTTGTTTTGTCAGTGCCTCTAGGACCAAATCGCACGTTGAGCAACTGTTTCTGCTTCATTGGTCATCTCCGCGGTTGTTCTTCTTTAAAATGCCTCAGTGGACGAAATGAACAGCCGCCCTAACACTGCAGGATTCCTGTTTTGAGGCGAGGTATGCCAAACTCCCTCCAAGAGGCACAGCCAGCGGCTTAGGACTGTAAGTTGCTTTCCGGGAAAAAGGGAGGGTTGGACCTACGTTGATTCTACATAAGACACAACAATGTCTACCACCCACATGCCTTTTTTTTCCACTTTTTGCGTGCATGTATTTGCTTTGACGCCTACCTTTGAATGTGTGTAGCTCAATGTATACACACATATATATATATATATAATATACATATATCTACCATAGATACAGGTTCCAACCACGCGCCCTGCGAGTCTATCCACTTGGGGCTCGGGGAATCCCGGGGATTCTGCCGGAGGATCCTGGGGGAGTTGCGGATCTTGGTGGACCAGACCCCCTGCTTCTCCTGCCTGGGTGCCATGGCCCAGTTCCGGGCCCTCCTTCCCGAGGCCTCGGTTTCTCGCGGGAGGTGGGTCGCGGCTCGGGTCTGGGGAAGGGTTGGCGCGGTTTGGTCGGTTTTTTTTTGCGGTGCGGTTGGGTTGGGCGGGTGTGGAAGGCCCGCGTTTGCTGGTTGAAAACCGAGCGTGTGAAATGTGGACTGGTTTCTTCATTCTTTGGCCGCAACGGAAAGCAATGGCTAAGGACTTTGAAAGCATGGCGTTTGGTCTAGGAGGTCGAACGGCCCCACGAGGCCACGAGGCAGTCAGAATTGCCCAGTGCTTTCGCTTACCATTGTGGATGAGCAGCGCGTAATCGCGAATTGAAACTGAAGGGTGAGAGACGCGTCATAGTGGCATAGTGGTTTGTCCAATTGAATGGGGGGATCAAGGTCCCAGTTTCGGGGCGATCGCTGGCAAGCCTTCAATCTACCTTCTGCGTCGGCCAAATCTGGCGAGTCCTACTCGAGGATGGCGGGCGGGGTTTGCAACTGGCAGGGCAGGGATCCCAACAACTGACTCCGGCTTTCTTGACTTTATACGCGTGTGTGATTTTTGATGGTGTCCTTTTTGGGCTGTTTGTTCAGGGGGACCAAAGGGAAAACCACAATTTGATGAGTTGTAGGGCCCTCCTATTTTGACACATGCACATACCAGTTGAAATGTTGAAAAGGTCCTAATGTGAATCAACAGTTTGCCCGCAAATGTCCAAGTGCACTGCTGCACGCTTTCCAGCAGGGCAAAGCAGTTTTATGCCCTAGAAATTACACTCGGGGAATATTTGCATGAACTATTAACCACACAGTGACACTTGTTGCGGTGATTTGAAGCTCTACGCAGAAAGCTCCAAGTGGAGTGGACACGGGCTACTTAGAATGAGTAAGCACTTCAATGGCATAGCGCGTACGTACACACACACACGTATACTACACATGGGATGACAGTACCTTACCGATGGCATGTCTTCGCATCGCATCGCATACATGGCATCGCGCTGCACTGCACTTCGCTGCACTGCATTGCATTGCATGCATATCTTGAGATGTACATCCACACAGACATGTTTGCCTGTGTTGGTGTTCCTTTGAGCACAGCACCCTGCTGCTGGGGCTCCAAGTTTTCCCGCCAGGTGCGGGTGGCGTGCCACTTCGTGCGTCTCAGCGAGCTTCGGCGTGCGGAAGGGGCGGAGGAGGAGCAGCCCGGCCTAGCCACAGCGCGAGTCCCTCATTTTGGAAAGTGGGGGGGTGCTTTTCGGGGGTACCCGGTACTCTCACACCTTGACTGCTATTGGGTTGGATCTTTAGGCTTTAACTTTTTGGGACATCAAGGGGTTTTCCACTAAACCCCCAAAAAGTTATTCACTTTTTTTGCAGGGGGCTCAACAGCATCCAAGACACAGACACCCCCAAGTAAAGTCCCCGTTAAAGGGAGTCGTGCTGGGATGCCTATCCCTTCACAGGATCTGCGCAGCCCCCAGACCCGCGCGCGCTTTTTTTTTTCTAGCTCATGTCCCCAACTTTCGAGCTTTGGCGGAAACAGGGGGGTGGGAGCACAGGGACACTCCCAGCTCTGGTAGGCGACGCTTGGATGTTCCGTCGGGATTATTTGCCACAATCAGAACTAAGTGAAGGTTAGTATGAGGATACCCTTCCAAGAGGAAAGTAGTTTGTCTGCAGGGGTCTGTGCACTTCCATGTTAGTCGGTGGGTATCCCGTTTGAAGATGTTCATGGCTTCAGGCCCCGATGTTTTGTTTTTGTTACTCATGTGATTCAACGTGTTCAAACCATTTCAAACGAGTTAAACGTCCGCGTTTAGCAGCCTCGTTGAAGGGGCCCATGGCCTCTTTGCTTAGACCAATGGCTCTGCCTGGCTTGTCGGAGAGGTGCATGGCCTAAGGGTTGTATTGAAAGGCTACCAGGTGAACCCATAGTTTTCAATTTTGCCCATTGAAGTTGACAGTGGACATATGTTTGGCCAGACGTTCACCTGGCACACATGTCATCCTGGCACACGTGTCATCCCGCCTTACTCGCTGCCGGGAGCATCAAATCAGGCGTGCGGCTTTTGAACCCCAAGACATCCCAAGGCCATGAAAGCGACGATCCGAGCCACGTGAACAAAGACCACAAAGTATGCTTGCGCAACTTTTCAGTGTGCGCTTGGATTACCAGAAGCGGGCTGCGTACAAAGCGCAGTTGTATGCCAACCCAAGCTAGAAAGGTCGATCTTTCCGAGGAAGGCAGGTGGGTTTGCAGGCAATTTGCAAAACAACGGTCTGGCTCTTAGCCGACTCCCGGAGCCATGCGGATCGAAGTGTGCTTGCTGAGCGGGCGGAGTCTTGCTGTGGACCTGTCGCCGGACACTTGCATCAGCGAGCTGAAGGCTGCCGCACAGCAGCACTTCGACCTGGGCTTCCTGAGTCTCACTGAGCCCTCGCCGCAATGGGCCTGTTTTCGCTTGTTTTCGGGGTCTCCTCTGGGATGATGTAAAAGGACCCTTAACATACAATGCCGAGATACAAATCCTGACTGAGGACAAACTCCTGTACCGTACCAGTTGAATTGGGTGAGTGAAGCCTTATCAATACTGGGGTAAACCACTTACCAACTGGTACAGGATTTTGTCCATGAACGGTTTGCAACCCTTAGGCCGCGCGGTTTTTGCTCCCTTTCCTAGGACAAAGCCGGCCGCTGCCTGCGCCCGGAAGCGACGCTGAGGGACGCAGGGCTGGCAGACGGGGATTGCCTTACTGCCACGGCACAGCAGTGCCGCATTGTGGCCACACGATGGGTCGCTTGATCAAAGAAGCATTGGTTGGTGTACTTTTTCCGTTTTTTTTTCTTCTGTTGTTTATGGTGTTGTGCTTGTGTCATGGTCGTTTCGTTGTTCTTTCGGCTTTCCATGTGTTGCACTTATGGGTTTCCTTGTAGCTTGTTATCCCCTAAGGCATATTATGTCAAAGATGGGTGAGCGTGAATCGGTTTCCGGGGGTGCTCGTGCCCAGGGAAACTGCTTTGAAGTGCATTGTCCACAACATGTATCAGGACGATTGGGCCGTAGATGCTATCATGGTCTGATTTCTGAGATGCAAGGGCATTGATAAAGTAGGAATGGGCCACTTTGGCATCACAGGAAGTGCTATGTTTTGGATTGCGACAGGGAATTATGCAACGTGGCTGGAATATAGATTCTACAGTTGGCGGGTGGGCAGGGCAGCCCTTGAATTACACTGGTTTCATTTAAATTCTACCCACTTCACCAGTGCCAGCCATGTTTTCCAACGGGCCGCCCGGGGCGGCAATGTTTTTCCAACCCCACAACCTATTTTAAGTTGACTCTGCCCCTACCTCTTGAGATCAAACAAAAATTGCTAAACAACACCTAGGGTTGGGCTGGGTTCCCTCTATCTATGTTCAATCCCCCGCATAACTTGAAGCATCAAGAATTTGTTCCGTGCGTTTCCGCTTTGGTGATGTTTCCAGGGGTAGCTTCCCCATTCTTTCTAAGGATCCTTCTTTCATTTCTTTCCAAACACCTCCAGAAACCCACGGAAAGCGGCAGGCTTTTGAAAAGAACGATGATTGAAATGAATGGGGAATCAACCCCTGGAATGTTCAAAGCGAGGGGAAGTTTGGGGCGTCGGTTCCAGGTGGGCAAGACGTTCGCAGCCTTCCTCAGGGGTTGGGATTCGGTGGTCACCTGGGGCGACGAGGAGGAGGGCGGGGAGCCTGCGGCAGTCCAGGAACAGCTGGGCAACGTCCAGGAGATCGAGGCGCAGGGCTAGCCTGAAAAAGTACCCTGAAAAGAAATGTCCAGAGAAAAAGTGGTTGAGAGCCTCCTTAGTAAGTCCCCCAAGCAGCTGGATTTCCCTACAACCCTGGTTTTCCCTTTTTGCTGGAGGAGGGGACCCCTACAATATCAATCGCCGAAAAAGCATGCCCTTTGTTCAACTCAGATGAGTATGGAACGCAAAAAAAACAACCTATCCATTCAGAGGAACCTCTATGTCGGGATCTATTCGAGGCCAAGCGCCCGTTTTGAGGGATCACGGGGCCACAGATTTGCCGCCCCGACGACTGAGCCAAATTAACAAGCCGTCGTTCCCCGCTCACCCCAACTGGGTTCCACTGGGTGGATTCTAGCATGCGACGCGCATGGATGTCCGTGACAAGCTGGAGCCCATTCTTATTGGAAGCCGTTTTGCGTGCCCTTCCAGCTTGTCCCTAAGGCGTCTTCCAGAGCCTTCGCTGCCATTTGCGCGGATGGCCGGGTGGTAACTTGGGGCCAGGAAGATCTCGGGGGCGACAGCTCCGAGGTCCAGGACAGCCAGTCTTTGCGAAGGGCTCAAAGGGGGGGCGGACCAGGGAGTGGGAAGTTTCCACGGCTGCAACGTTGGGCGTTGTTTGGGGGCTTTCGAAAGTGTCGCGTTTGGTGTGTTTGTGCTTGATTGCTGTGTGTTGTAGAGTGTTCGTGAGCTCCCACATTTTTTTATGAGTTTGTGCGTTTTACAGCAAATGACATGTTTGCGCGTGTTTGTGCCTCTGATAATGGGAGAGACCAACGCAGCAACCCACGCCAAAACAGCACGGAGAAAATATATCAAAATTAGACTTGTTGCTGGTCTCTTGTATGTTTTGCCTTCTTATGTTTTGGAGTTGGTGCATCTTATTGGAATCCCATGTCAGGGAACCATGAACAGCCATTTGAACGTCTGACATTGTTCTAGAGAATCAACAAGGGCACGAGGTCTGCGGGCTTTGGGGTGGGGCCGTGGGCCCCCGATGACGTGTATCGGAGGCTGCCCTGCGAAGTCTGCCGAGCTTCCCCCCCCCCCCCCACCAGTCCGTTGTGGGAATTATACATCTGAATAGCCCCCATTCCACAAGGACATCAACAAGCAGCTTGCATTTTTATGACTTTATGTTTCCCATGAGCCCCCCTACCCCCCCTCCCCCTCAGTGATGTGGTTGAGCCTCTGGTTTTGCTTCAGGACCAGCTCCAACACGTGCAGCAGGTCCAAGCCTCCTTCGGTGCCTTTGCTGCCATCCGCGAGGACGGCAGCGTGGTAACCTGGGGGAAGGCGGGGAAATGGGCGCGCTTCATCCATTCTGGGCCTGTTGCCCGTTCATCGCGGGTTTCCGGCAGCAACTTCCCCTTCCATCCGGCAAGCCAACTATTTGGGGTCCAAGTAGAAAGGTAACTGGCAACGTTGACCTGGTTGATTTACCGGCCTGATAGGCCGGTACGGGAAGGGGGGTTCCCGAATTTGTCAAGCATGTCCTCCAAACTGCTTGTAATCAAATCCAGCCTGGATCAACACTGGCGACCTCGGTGGTTTTCAAGATGCTTTAGATTGGCCCATAGTTTGCTGCCAAACGGGCATCCCCCGAACATAGCTGGTGTCCCTTCGGTTTCCCTTTGAAACATCCTCAAACCAGTCACTTTCAATTGTTCATCACAGATCCATGCGGCTGTTTCGTTCTTGCACAAACCCCATGAGGCTCGCTACGGCGGGGATAGCAGCGGCGTCCAAAGGGACCTGCTGGGCGTCAAGGCGCTCGAAGCCTCCACCGGCGCTTTCGCGGCCATCCGCGCAGATGGCTCTGTGGTCACCTGGGGACCCCCATCCTTCGGAGGTGACAGCAGCAGTGTGCAGGAACAGCTGCTGCATCTCAGCTGAACTGAGGCATGCTTGGGGATGGTTGGGGGTGGTTCCCTTTGAGCTTGAAACCGCAATGCGGAGAGTAAGCTTGAGGATGTCACTTTGCGGAAAAGTCTGTCCACTAAGTTGGATCTCTTAACTCACAGCATTCTATCCGAGACAAAATTTCATGGGCTCCACCAGAAGAGTGTGCCTTCTTAACCAATTCAGAAGGCACAGTGACCCTGCAAAAACCAGGTCCCCAAAACCGAGGTACCTCTCAGTAAAATTTCGCACCGTGCTTTCCCAGTGCCATCGTGCCCTCTCAATCTTCCCCTTGTTTTTGTGCCTTTCTTTGAGGCATTGTATTCTCGGGAAGGCTCGGGGAAGGTGCCAGACCCTCGATTTCTGTAGTGGATACTAAGTGGCGACACATCATGTGTACGCTATGTCAGTAGTTGAGTGGTGGTGGCAAGCATCTTAAGAACGCATCTTAGAATCTAGCGTTTGACCCCTTTTGCTTTTCGATTTCTCAAGTCTTTGGCCCAGGCA